ACAACAAGTTAAGTAGAGTTATTTCATACCAGGGAAATAATGAGGATGATGGCCTTCATAATTTTTAAATTTCCAGGAAACAAACAAAAAAGTTGATGGTTACGATTCTAGTGAAGATACGATTAACGAAACCTTTTGATTTATAAAGGTCCCAATTATTATTAAACTTGAGTGTGTGACATAACCATCGTCGTGTTTAAAAATTACGGGACAAGTAATAACTCGGGGACAAAGAACCGTATAAATTTTGCACAATGTACATGAATTTACTGGTAACACTCCCGAATTAAATAAGATTCCATTGTATTTTGTGCACATTTTCATAAATAAATGCACTCCATGATTCATTGTCCTTAAAAGAATTTGTGCAGCATGTGAAGATAAATGTATGAAAAATGGGCATAAAATGTGTCACAATTTTGGAGTAACAAGGATTTGAAATACGTTACGACAAGTAATAAGTCCTTGTTTTTTTTATTTGGTCTGTGTCCTTACTTATTGTTCTTGTTAATGAGAATGTCCCAGGACAAACGAAACGTACAAAAAACAGACGAAATGACAAGCACAAGAACACAATTTGTTTAAATTGAGAATTATGAAGAATTTATTTTTCAGGAATTTATAACGCAAGCTTTTCTTACCCTTTCTTGCATCACGAAGTTTACCAAGTTAAAATGGGAATGTTATCAAATGAGAGCAACAAAAAAATACAGAAGAAATCAAGGACAAAATTTAAGAGAAATTGAGAATTATGAAAAAAACACTTTCCAGGAATCTTGAATTTTTCCAGAAATTAATAATCGTCAAGCTCGCCGACAAAGTTTTCGCATAAATTAGCTGAACCTACTTAATATCTAAAATGCTAGATTTCGATGCCATTTCAATAAATTTTGATTGCGTAGATTGAAAAAATTTATACTAAGGTTGTTTCACTTCTTTTTTCTCTCAATTAGTCGACTAGGAATCAATTCACGCCAATTCTCGTAATTAAACTTTGTGCATTATACTGAAATTATTCCCACTTCCCGATGAATAATTTGAATGCATTTATGTAAAACAATTTTTTAAACCGAGAAAAAAATCAAAATTTTCAAAATTTTTGACTCATAAAACGCGTAAATTTGCAATTTTTTTTTAAAAAAGACTACAAAAGTTTTTCCAGAATTGGTGAATTAAAATGTGTACATGCATACTTATCTTCTTGCTTAGTTGACTTTCATAATGGATCAAAAAACAATTGGATGCATTTACATATATGAAAATAACTTTCTAAACAAGCAAAAAATTAAGATCTTCAAAATTTGTGCTCCTAAATAGGGATTGCAATCCCGGACAATTTTTTAAATCCCGGGAATGGGGAATCCCGGTTTATGCCGTACTAAATCCCGGGATTTTTTCCCGAAATTCAAAAATTACCTCATAGCTTGAAATTAGTTAAATTTAGCTATACAAAAAGGTACATAACTTTAAAAAGTACAGAATACAAGCATATTTATAATATTTACTTATGCACATACATACTTATGGTTTTTCGAGAACCGTGCATCAATAAGTATTATTATTACATACGGCCTTCTCAAAATCAAGGTAGTGCAAATTAGCAATTATATGGTGGTGTGTCAGCTTGTAAATGTAAAATTTCGGTGCAATGTGATAGTCTAATTTTCCGCCCTTTGTCTTAGGAGGGGAGCTTCACCACCTGCCCCCCTCAGATCTTGATGTGCTTTGGATATGTGGTAGTGTCCCATGAGTGTACTAAAACCCTGAAGTGGTTTGACTCCATGGCCACATGTGCGCCCGCCACACCCACTCAAAAGGATAAAAACCACAAAAGTTACCAACTTCAAAAATTCACCAAAAATCCAATTTTGTTCAGATTTTGATAAAATTTACATTTTTGTGATCCCAGATACTTGTTTGATCATATCCAGTAGCAATCTCAACTTTTTTGAAATTTTCGAGCTGATGAATTATTCGAAAAAATATCTACTGGATATGATCATACAAGTATCTGGGATCACAAAAATGTACATTTTATGAAAATCCGAGCAAAATTGTATTTTTGGTGACAGTTGAAGTACGTGAAAACAGGGCTTTTTTCGTGTTTTTTACACCTTTGAGTGGGTGTGGTGGGCGCAAATGTGGCCATGGAGTCAAACCACTTCAGGGTTTTAGTACACTCATGGGACCCTACCACATATCCAAAGGGCATCGAGATCTGTGAAGGGCAGGTGGTGATGCTCCCCTCTTTAGAGAGGTGATAAGAAAAATTTTGAAAATTTCACTCCAGAAAACTTCCATAATAATTAATCAACGATTTGCTAGCATTTTAACCTGACCTGAAATGCATAAATTTACGTTTATTATTTGGGTACTATTATAAAAAAACTACAATTGGACAATTCAAAAATTTCATGTTCAAATATATGAACTACCTCGTTCATTCAGCCTTAGATTGATCGAGTAAAATTCGAAATTATATATTTCTAACATGTTAGCTTTTTTGAGCATAACTGATTTCAGATTCGATAATTATACCGAGGGTAAGGTTTATTTCTTCCTTCAAATTTAAATCTGACATCGAAATTAAAAAATTTTAGGTTTCATTTTGTATTGCAAATTTTACTTGCGAACTATAAGATTTAGATATACATATGCTGCGACATGTAAAGAAATGTGGCTTCCCATTTTGTTTAAAGCTTTAATCTTGGAGTTGAGATTGAATTTTGACAGGTTATGCTCATCGAAACTTTTTCTTACCAATAATATAACCGAAAATTATGTAAAACCGCCACTAAAAGTCAAATATAAGGAATTTTCAATCCTGAATGACAAATTGAAAAATCCCGAAATCCCGGGATTTCAATTCTTCAAATCCCGGGATTTCGGGATCCCGTTTCCCGGGAATTCCCGGGAATAAAATCCCGAAAAATCCCGGGACTGGAACCCCTACTCCTAAATTTCCATTTTTTTCAAGATTACAAAAGTTGTGCCAAAATTGGTGGACTAAAATGGATACTTATTTTATTAATTATACTTATTTGGTACTTTTTTTTGGTTAGTTGAGTTTCATAAGGGGTCAAAAATCAGTGTGGTCCTGAAATCAGTCCATATAAAATGGTGGTTCAGGATGCGGATGTCCGCAGATTGGGCAGCATCGTCCGGGAGGCGTCCACCCCACGCACATCGGACAAGCGACGTTGTGGCAGCCGCAGCGCGGACAGCATTCGCCCGGCGGCGTGTATCCGATACACATGGGACAAGCGACGTGTGCGCATTTGCGCGGTCGAACGCTGTGGGCGTCAGTTTCGGGTACGGTGAAAAATAGGGTGGCCTGAAATTTTGAGGAGTTATTAAAATTAAAATTGCAAAATTTTTTACAGAATTTTGATGTAAATCACATACCAGAGAAAGAATGAGGATGATGGCCCTCATAATTTTAAATTTCCAGGAAACAAGGGAAAATGTTGACGGTTGGGATTCTAGTGAAGATACGATTAACGAGGCCTTTTAATTTATAAAGGTTCAAATTACTAATAAAATTGATTATGTGACATAACCTGCGTGGTGTTTAATAGTTTAAAAATTTCGGAACAATTATGCAATAATTTGGTCGAGAAGGACAAAGAATCGTATAATTTTTGTACAATGTGCATGATTTTTGCCGATGCAAGGAATAATTTGCATGGATTCTGAAATTGCCTAATTTTCTGCTGCATTGAGAAAAATTTGAGATATATAAAAACTAGTAAAATTCCCGAACTACATAAATATTCCATTGGATTTTGCGCAAATTTTCATAAATGCAACGTTATTAAAAGAAATTGAGCAGCAAGGATATATAAATGCATCAATATAAGGAGTTAAATAAGTCCTTATTTTTTATTTGGTCCGTGTCCTTATTTTAATTGTCCTTGTCATTGAGAATATTTTTATAGCCAAGGTCCCAGGACAAATGAGAGCCACAAAAAAAGAGAACAGACAAGGCAATCACAAGAATATAAAATTTAAGAAAAAAAACAGAAAATTATGAGTTCTTTTTCCAGCCAGAAATTTATTTTCACTTGAGTCAGTTAATTTTACAAAGTTTACTAATCTTAAGTTGGGGGTAATACTAAAGGTCACCAAATGAGGGCAACACAGTGAGAGCCACAAAAAACAGACAAGCACAAAATTTAAACGAAATTGATAAAAAATTACGAAAAGTTTATTTTCAAGGAATTTGAAAGTTTTTACAGAAATTTATGTTTCACTTGAACAAATTAATTTTACAACGTTTACCAAGTTGGCGTTAATCTCGGGGGCAGGAAAAGTCACCAAAAGCCACATCGAGGGCAACACTCGCCAGGAAACGTGGGTCCAGCGCACATGGCACACATGACGCCCATGCAGTGAGGTGGGCGTGGGTAAGGGCCAGGTGGTGGGAACCAGGGTCCGCCTGGGTATGGATACGGTCGCGGATAAGGTGGTGGATAAGGTCTTATCCAGAATTGCGCGTCGGTTTCATGCACGAGGAATAAAGCGGTCTGGAACGATTGAAAAATTTAGATAAGAAAAAACTTCGAAATGAAATTAAAAATTTGAAATTTTAAGTAAGGAAATTTGAATGAAAATTTGAATTATACCAGCGACAAGATAAGTACGATGGGGAGAATGGATTTCATATTTTAGTGAGATTTCCAGGAAATTTTGAAAAAATAAGAGCAAATGGTAACGAGTTAGTTTCTTAATGAAACTGGAAATTCTGGGACAGTTTTCTTTTATAAGGGTCGAATCAGTAATAAAAATACTCGAATTATTATTGCGTCCGTCAATGTCAGGATGTAAAATGCATAAAAAATAATTATGGCGAGTGACTTGAAACAATTATGATTTAAGTTAATTGACAAAAAATACTTAAATCGAGGAAATGAAGAAATCACGATTTTTTAACTTTCAAAATATGATATTTTGGTCTAAAAGAATTTTAAAAAACTAAAAAAATTAATACCTTTTCCAAATTTTGTGCAACCGAAAATGACAGCAACATGCTCAATATTTTATTCTCGTCAAAAACCAAAAGTTTATTTTAGTACAAAAATGTGTATTTAAAAATAATATTTTTAATCATCAAGTCAAACAAGTGATGATTTCAACGACGACCATTTGGTCGCAAGCAGCGTAATGTCACAAAAAATTTACGAACTCGACCAATTACAAATTGTGCATTAACCTTGGAAAAATAACATTATCCGACAAAACCTACCAATTTACAAGCTAAAATTTTGCAGGAAACTTTACAGATTTTTAATTTCTACTAGTAAGAAAGTGACAAGAGGCTAAATATTTTTACGACAGTTACGCAAATTACGTTCAATGGGGTCGTGAAACCTCGAAATATTTAAAGAATTTATGTATATTGTAGGTAGAAAATTATGTAACTTTTTTTGTATCTGATTTTTAAACTGATTATTTTGAAAGCATATTTGTGATTATTGAGGGATTGATGGTGGCGGTGGTGGTACCGATTTCCTCTGAAAATCTGGGTAGTACTCGGCCAGAAGTTCGTTGAATTTTCCATCAAAGTTCCTAAGGCGAAGAAAAGTTTCCGAATTTGACCGGCGAGCCTGGAGAAATACAAAAATGTACAAATTTAATTAAGTTTAAGACGGAAATTATTCGATAATCAATCACACCATTAAAACATCCTCGTAAGATATGAAAATTCGCTCCAACTCTTTCAACATTTCTTCAGCAGTTTCAAATTTTTCAGGCTCATTGTTTGCCAGCCGTTTTCGAACAAGGAACAAGGGCGATTGTTCGTCTTGCGGTTCCTAAAATAGGAAAACATTGTAAAGAAACATTGCGCAAAATTTGACTCTATAAATTCTTACCGCTTTAACGCCATCGACGATTAGTCGAAAATCGAAGACATTCTCCCAAACGAAAATATCTGAGAGGAATTTGCACGCTTTATAGAATTCTTTCTCGTCAGCATGAATCCCACCGGCTTCCGCGTTGCGAATATGTTTCTCCGGTTGTTTCGAGGGGTCACAGGCCTCTACACGTCCTTTGCAAAAGTTGCAGTGAAAATCTCCATCAGGAATGCCAGACAGAGACGGACTGTAACAAATACATGATAAGTAAATAAATTTACTAAAATTATGGAAATAAATAAGTTATTACATGTGACAGATGGGATGAAAAATTTTGGGACATAGGTCACAGCACAGTAAATTGTCGCCACCATCGCGACAAATTCCGCAGTAGTCGTCGTGGTCTGAATCCTCGGTGGTTTTGAGGGGATCTGTAAACGTTAGTAGTAGTGATTAGTTGAGATTTTTTCGCTAACTTGTGCCAATGTTACAGTTCAACCATAAGGCGCAAGTTATTCGAGGTAAGACAAACTCACCGAGAGACGTTTTCTGTGGCTTTTTAATCGGTGACTTTTTTCGCTCTCGCTTTTTTCTCGGTTTTAGTTGTTGTTTCTTTTCTTCCCCGCTGGAAACTTTGCTACGGATACGTTTCACCGCCTCCGGCGTGGTGAACATGTTAGGATCGAACGTTTTACGTTTTATTTCTCGCTTTCCGGGTGGACGAGGTCTGGAAGAAGGGTATAATGAAAACTTTTTAATTTTCCCCTACACAAATTAATAAAATAATTGTAATTAATTACGTTGTGTCTGACGATGATGCGGGCGACGTAACCGGAAGTGTTTTCCTGTTCCGTTTCTTCTTTTGAGCAGCGCGACTGAAAGAGTTGAGAAATTGTAAAGTTTTTTTGGAGAAAATAGTGGGAAAACTTAAACAATTGAAATTAAGTGTTGGTGAGATTCCCATCGGGTCTAAATATGTGAAAAACTAGATTCCCTCTTTTCTAAAGAAAGCCTCCGTCAAAACTGATCTAAAAAATGGCTCCATAAACATTGGGAAAAGTTTTTTCCAGAAAAAAGAAAAAAAACAATTTTCAGGACAACAGGATTTTTCGGAGTAAAAAACGAGAATACAAATTCCATTTCCCATATAATTTACAGTAATCCACGCACTCACCTAGCAAGCTTATCTTGAATGAGATCATTCTCAAAGGAAATTACATCGTCGGCGAGAAACTCATTCACGACTAGTTGTTCCTTCCTGGTTTGTTTTGCCTTCTTTAGAGGTGATGGTGTCGTCGTTGTTGAGTTAACGGGGACGGGTGGTGATCTCCACGGCAATTCGCTCTCGTCGACCTCCATCTCGTCGCCATTCTCTTCCTCGTCGACACCCTCCTCGTTCTGATACTCTTTCGCCAACTCGCCTAAAGTGTGCTCCAACTCGGTCGGTGGGAGTGGTGGTGGTGGCGGGGAGGATGCCTCCGACCGTGGCGACAGTGTCGTCGTGGCGGCGGCTTGTTGCTGACGTATATGCGGTGGCGATGGGAATTCTCTCTTTAGCGGGAACGGGATCGGAATTATGGGCCCTTGTCGACCAAGCGGTGCTACTCGTGGTGGTGGTTGAGGGGTTGGCGAGCGTGCCACGGAGGATGACGCGCCTTCGAGGGGATCTTGCCCTCCGCCCGTATCGAATTCGATATCTTGTTCTACTTCGTCTTCATCGAAGGGTCCCATTTCGGAAACCTTGTGATTAGCCCGCCCATTCGCGGAATCAAGTAATTCTTTCAATTGTCTCCTTCCCTCGATGGTATCCACGACTAAATCATGCGTTTCTTCCCCGTCTTCATCGTTATCCTCTATTTCCATGCTTCTCTGCATCATTTCATCATTGACGGAAAGTGGGTCGTCATCGTCTTCATCGTCCATGATGACTTGTTCGATTTCTAACTGGCTGCCTTCAAAGGCTCCGAGCGGTTCGACATTTGGTTTTGGACATAATCCACCCCCGGTCCGTTTGACGGCGCAGTTTCGCGGTTTCCTCGTGCTCACGGGGCGTGGAGGGGTGACCATCTCTTTCTTTAAGGGAGGGGGAAGGACGGGCCTTTGTTTTGGTGGGGTGTGCGGTAGTGGTGGAATTACTCCTTTCTGTGGGTATTGTGGTAGTGGAAGGATTCGCTGTATTTGTGGTGGTTGTGGTGGAGAGGGAAATCTGGGGGTGTGATTCAACTGAGGTCTTGGTGGTCTTGGGACAAGAAGGCGAAGTCCGGGAGGACCTGGGCGAGCCGGATAGGTTCGAATGATTCCTTGTGGTCGGAGCGTGGGTGGAGATGGTGTTCTCGTGGAGGTGAATCGTGTCGCCATTTGAGGTCGCACTTTTGGTTTTAGTTTCATCCCAGTACTCGCTTGAAGAAGGGGTGGTGGGGGTTGGTTTGAGATGACCCCGTTAGTATGGCGATATTGTTGTGGACGGTATGAGGCAGCAGCGGCGGCGACAGACGTGCTAGGAACTTGGTGGCGTAGTGGCGGTGCGGGACGTGCCATTCCGGGAGCGAGTCTTCTAATTTTCGGGACTGGGGGAAGCGGAGCAGGAGGAGTGGGCGAGATTTCGAACTGGGTTTCCATACACTGTATTATTTTCTTCCGTTCACTTACACCCATTTTTTGGAGGAGGTGAGCGTACGGTGGAACGCCGGGTCGCTTCACGTTGGGGGCGTGGGAGTAAGTTATTTTACAGAGTTTTTTTGTTTCTGGGGGGAGAAAAAGTTAAGTAAGTTGATAATAAAAAATTGAAGAACTTCTTTTCTGATTGATTACCATTTTCCATCGTTATGTATGCAGCTTTGTCCACTTTGAGATGATTCTCCATTTCGAAATAGGCACGATTAAATTTCGATAAGACTTTTAATTGGTCAGAGTGACATTTTTTGGCGAATCTGCAAAAATCCAAAGGGTAAGAAATGTTACTATACATCTAGAAAAATTCATCAAGAAATAAATAACCGACCTGTAGGCGACCAACCAGCCCTCATCCACCCCAAGGGAACCGTCGACTTCTGCCTCACTCGCCCTCTCCAACAGGGACCTGATGAGTCGAGCGTACTGAAACCCGCTCTGACTATTTCGACTGCACTCCACCTCTTTGAGACGTAGGACGCGCGACGACTCTTCAGTAATGACGCGAATGTCTGAGCGAAGCTGGTGCTCTCGCGCGAACAATTTTGATAATATTCTGCAAAAGTATAGTTGAAAAATTTTAAATTATGGTTTAACGTTGACATAGGTGACTCATCGCCTGTGACGTAACAGATGTAAAAATCTGCACATTTTTACTCATTTCTCGGCTATGGGAATGTATTTTTAAATTCCATCGGGTCATTTTGTAGAGCAGGTCAGTACCAATTTATTAAAAATATGCACTCTAGATTTTGACAAGTTTTGAAGGAGGAGAACCAATTTTTCTGAAGGCCTTCACTCTTTTTGGTTCTCCTTCAAAACTTGTCAAAATCTAGAGTGCATATTTTTAATAAATTGGTACTGACCTGCTCTACAAAATGACCCGATGGAATTTAAAAATACAATAGCCGAGAAATGAGTAAAAATGTGCAGATTTTTACATCTGTGACGTCACAGGCGATGAGTCACCTATGTCAACGTTAATTTTCACGAATAATTTATTTGCGCTAACGATATACATAGTTTAACTATGGCGCAAGTTAGAAGGGACTGAAACTTACACGGTCATCATGCATTGAACTTCTTTCGTTAAATGATCCCTTTCAGCTTTGAGCAAATGAGTGATTTTAGTTTGGGCTTCGGATTGACGTTGCTGCAGGTTCACGAGCTCTTTACTGGATAGTAAAAAAATAGGAGTTAGTAAAATATAATTTAAATTTAGTAATTTTTAAAAGTTGAATTTACGCATGCTTGTAAACTGGGCAATTTTTGAGTATCATTTGTGAAGAATTTTTTAAATGATTTGTAAACTTTGTAACTTTACAGAGATGATAATCATCCTTAAATTTACAAATTAATGAAATTATAAGAATTAATTTGAGCCAATCTCAATCAAGAATATTCCCAAGTTTTTGTAAACTTTGTTAAATTGCACAGTTTGCAGCTTTTCGTGAATCAATTTCTTACTCAATTTCCTCGCCAATTCCCTCCACATTTTTCGCCATGATTGCCAAAGCGTCCTTTAATGAGCATACGTGGCAACTAAGGTGCTCACCGCGGCACTCGTGGCACACGGGAATGTCACAGGTCACGCAGAACGCGGCGTAACAATTTGAGGGATGCAAAGGGCACTTGTGTTCTGTTTGAGTTCGTCGTCGTGGCGAATTTTTTCCAGGAGGAAATTCCTTCGCGTTGTGGTGGCTGGTTTGGACGGAAAAGGGGTGATGCTGTAAGAGAGAATTAATTAATGTTATGTAGCATAATTTTTACATTTCTGAAACAGAAATCGATATCAGAACAAAAATGGTGTAATTTTGAAATGTTTTCCAAAATGGGGCAAAAGTCTCGTACTATAAATAATTTAATGAACTAATTGTCAATTAATTAAGTAGAGATGGTTAAAAGTCAAGGTTAACGTTAACATATATGTGTACATATGTAATTAGCATAATTGACACTTATCAAATCACGAACGTAAACTTCCGAACAAAAATTACATTATTTTGAAGCTAAATATTTTCTAAAATGTGCCTTGCAAATTGCCTTATTTCAAGCTAGGTCTATTAATTGCATTACGTAATCATTACTCAATTAATTAACTAATTACCCACCTCGAAACAGTCTTCACACAATAATCTGTCACACTCCGGACAGGATGCGACCGCTTCGCCTTCTCTAATGCACAAATTACAAATTCTGACCCCTGGTCGCCTAATTGGCGCTACTTCCTCCCCCACCATGAAGTCGATAGGTTTGACCAGGATGGACTTCGTCTCCTTGTTGATCGGAATGACTCGAGAACAAATGGGGCATGACTGCGTTTCTGAAATTACAAATTTAAAAAAATGTCATATTTAATTAAATTAATTAATTAACTCATAAGTTATTATTATGTGAGTCACATAATGTGACGTACAGTTTATCCACTACAAAATTTGAAAACAAATTGTCCCATATTTTTGCAAACTTTACTTAATTACAATTAACATTTTGTTACCTAATTATTTAAACTATTTAATTATGATAAACAAACATTTAACTCACCTCCATTTTCGCTAAATACGGAATCAAAACAGTCAAGCGAGCAAACGACGTGGAAACACGGAAGCACGATAAGTTCCCGTTTTCCGTAATATTCAACATGATTTTCATGCTCTTCTTCCCAACAGACGAGACATTTCGCCCATGGAGGCCACATTGTGGTGTAGTGGAACCAACTAATTATTACTTTTAACTGGGTATGGTTAAAAAATTAATTAAATTTTAATTGAGCTTGAGAGGAAGGCGGAAAAGGAAAAAGTCGATTTTGCTGCTGCTTGCTCGTGAAAAGTTGCGCTTTTCGAGTTTCCCGCTCCTCAAGTCGTGGCTTGATGGAAATGACGAGAAATTAAAAATGGTGGACGATTTTATGTAAGAAAAATAAAATGGAGGGAGACTCCATTAATTTGCATAATTACCCCAATGGTAATAATTTATGTTGGGAAGGGGGTAATAATTAACTTGGAGGTGTAAAAATGGGTAATTTTTGGTGTGAAGTCATGCAAGAAATTCATGGAAAATTGGAAAGTTATGCCATGAATATTTCGAACTTATATAATTTCAATTTCATTATTACCCCCGGGGTATTATTAATCCCCCGAACATAGTTAAACTATCATTTTTCGTGGGAAATGAAGTATAAAGAAAATTAACTGAATTTTGAAATTGATGTTAATTTTGAATGGTTAGAAATTTAATATTCATGAAAATATCGATCATGTATAATTTCATAATTCCCCTCCGGGTATTAATTCATGTTTGTAAAGGGAAATAATTAAACTTCATTTTTCGTGCGAAATGAAATATTAAGAGGACTGAATTTCAAAATTGATGTAAATTTGAAAGTTAATACATTGCCATAAAAAATTGCAAATTCTTAACAAATAAACTCACAACATTCCAGACAAGTTTAGTTTGTAAAATTATTCTACAGGTTTAAAATTCATGATCGATACTCCCGATGACGAGAGAAGAAACGATTGATTATTATTACGTATTGATCGAAGAGGTGAATTTTTAATGCGCATGAAATTTTATGCTTTACATAGGCATCAATAAGTGAAAGCGGATAATTTTGTGTTGTCGGTCGTAGTGAAATTGTTTCCCTTTACAGTTTAATAATGTTCGTGTCGTGTTATTTGTTTGGATTTGCGTGGATTTGGATTGGAGGTGAAGAAGGAAATGTGCAAACTTTGTAAAGTGGTGGGTCGGGTGCATAATTTATAAAGGAAATGGATGGATGGGCGATACGAAACATGCATCAAATTAAATATAACGGTTGGACTTGATAAGTTAGAAATATATGGATTTATTACTTTAGTCATGAAAAGTAAGATGTGATGGATTATGTAGTAATTAATGAATTAGTTAGTTAATTATGGATTGTCGGTAAAATGAATTTCATTAGTCACATTTAAAGCCAGGTAAATATACAAAATTTTTGCATTTTTTCATGTAAATTTGTCATATTTTAGCCATTTTTGTTGCAAGTTAGTGATTCATAAATTGTTTACTAATGTTATGTAAGCAGAGTCTGGTTAATCCGGGATTACGGATTGAGGATTGAGATTGGGATTGGGGATTAATTAATCCTTAATCCCAATCCTCAATCCGCAAGTTTTGACTTTTAATCCCTAATCCTCAATCCCAAAAAGTTTTTTGAAAAAATAATTAATCCCTAATCCTAATCCCGGAGCGCATTGATTAATCTTAATCCAAGTTTGGGATTAAAATGGGATTAAATCAGCTCCACCTGCTGAAAATTCTCAGAGACTTTGCCAGTTCTCCTTTTGTTTCAATTAAAAATATGTTTCCCATAAGTTATGGGCCATAACTATCGAAATTCCATCGTTGTATTTCACAAACAAAAATTCGATATTATTAAACAAATAGGGAAGTAATTTAATGTCTCTCCAAAACAATGGGAATTACCCTCCGAATATTTAAGAAGTTACCTAAATGGAAAGCAACCTCTTAATGCTCTAAATTTTCCCTCCCCTTAAATGGAAGTAGCCTCTCATTTTGCATATCACAAATCTGTGTAAATTTCGTATCAGTGATGGGTTTTACTACCAGAGTCCGGTTGAATATGTTCTTAAAAACCCTAACTCTTCATGTAAAATGTTTACTCAGATCCCCAACAGATGTATTTATGAAAAACATTTTTTTAATTCGTTTTGAATAGCTTAAAAATTATTCTGTTTGACTGCAAAAATGTGAAAAATAGCTTAATATTTCACACTTACAAATAACAAGCTTTCCACATGCTTTGGTTTCATATTACATTAATGAATGGAATCTTCCTGATTTTTATTTAAACCAAGTGTTTGTTGTTAACAATGATATAAGTGCGCATGGAAATCTCATAAATGAATGGAATTATTTATGTATTGCGAATTTCTTAATTTCTCTAAAAGAATATATCTTTTTGGAAAAACCGCTGACATATGTAAAAAAAAACCTATTGAAGTCTATCAAAAAATGCACGTTTGTGGCTAAATTACAAGGCTGTATGTGCTATCCATGAGTGGTTTTTACCCTCCATATTAAATTTAAGATAAAAATAATAACTTTTAAAAACGGTACATAGTGACCCTATAGTGTCACTGGTTGCACTTTGCTCACTTGTAACTTCATATTCTTTCGTGGGAAGCGATTAGGTATTAATCGCTAATTTCACTGCGCCAAATTTCACCTTTTTAAGACAATTTTTGAAAATCGCGACTCTATAGTTAGTTCGATTTTATTGCGCTGATGAGAAAAAATCGGTGTACCATTGTACGTGTACCAGTTTTTTTTAAGAATTGGTACTGTATAAAGATTCGTCTGGCAATTATAAAAGAATTTTTCGATATTGTCCTGCACCCAAAACCTGTACCAAGCGTAAGCGTGGAGGACCTGTTAAGTTCACAACAGTTTTGAGTACCATGTGCCTTTCAAAAATGCATGCTTTTATGGAAGCCTTAACTTTAATCGTATATAAATAATACGCTTTTTACATAAAATGATAAAATTATGGCTTGTAGATATGTACATTATTTTAAGAGGTAGTTTGCCACCGAAATCCTAATTCAAAAATAACTTTAAGAGGCAGGTATCCATGAAGGGTACTTTTAAAATATTTGGAGGGTACTTCCCATTTAATTGGAGAGGCTTTAAATGCATGCCAACAAATAGTTCATGTATTTAAAAACATTTGATAAGACTTCATCTGTTAAAGTTGATTTTAGTTCACTGATGACTAAGTAAACTTATTTTATGTCACTCATCTGTACACTTCATATTCTTGTGGCCGTATAATAATAACCTAGAGTGGCCAGTGGTAATGCCCACTCATTCACACTTGAATGTTAATCAAATGGAGACTGGACTTAAGTCACTTAAGCGACAACTCACACTTTAGGTCATTATTTATATGGTCATTAGGTTATTCAAATTCAATCGCACTGTTAAGACTTATAAAACAATTTAATTAAGACATCAGAAACATTAACTAGATATAAATGTGATCGACGATAAATACGACTTTAATCCCATTCCGGGATTAAAATCGGACTAAATTAATCCTAATCCCTAATCCCATTGAATGACTTGAGAGATTTAATCCCGAATTAATTTTAATCCCGAGTTAATTTAATCCCTAATCTCAATCCTCAATCCCGAATTTTTTAAAATCAATCCGTAATCCTAATCATTAATCCCACTTTCGTTAATCCCAAGACTCTGTATGTAAGTAAGTGCGAAAATGTTACAAATTAATTAGATACTAAAAGTGTGTAAACTTATTTTTCCGGGCTAGTTAAAACACATAAAAATTTTGATTTATTTTGTATTTGTATTGTAAATATTATACAAATGATATAAGTAGTTTCATCCAATAATGAATTTGTTACGATTGATGTTCGGAATTTAGTTATGGTTTACACTTCAAGAAAATTTATTGAAAAACTGAAAACTTAAAAAATTATGACAGAGTAAAACGCCAGAAGTGTTTTTTTGCATTGATTCGTTGAAGGTATTTAAACTCGGCTTTCCTGCTCAAACTAACAAGATGTCACAACTTGACTATTTCAAATTGTTAATCACGCTCTAATGATAAGCAAGTTTAACATTTGAGATAACTTATCTGGCAAACTTGGATGAAAATCATTAGATATTTACCGATAAGAACCACTCGATACGTAGGAATTATTATGGATAATCAGCCAGCTTTCGGCAAGCAGGATTGTTAATTTGCACTGCAAATGGCCAACTAATAAAGACACATCACTTATCAAAATGCTTAGATAAATATGCATACGACAACACAGTGATGTCAGAAAAGTTAATAATTTTCCATGAAAAATCAATCGATACCTCCAGCTGATAAGACTTATTATATTTTCCAACCAAACGCATGATGTGATGATAACCACCTTATCGCCTATTTCCACAAGAGCAACGTCACCGTACTATCAATCACTGAATCCAAATATTCTGGCGCCGTCTCTTTCGTGAAAAGCTTATAACTCGCGTACCTCAATCTAATCGGGGGGCACGATTTCGCCACCCGTTTCGCCACACGGTCGTCGACGTCGTCGGCATCCTTCCAACAAATTTTCGCCAACGTGGCGACCGACGCCTCGTACGGGGAGGCCAACACGTTCTGCACCATGAATAAGTTAGCCGCCCCGGAAAAGCTGAGGTACGGACAGAACGCCCACGCCGTGAAGGACAACGACTCGTAGAGGCGAATCGTCCCATAATTTACGGCCGTTTGGTTGAAGAATGCGGGGAAAAATATGTTAAAAGTTTGGGTCGAAAAGACCTCGTTGAAATTGAGTTCGAGCAGTTGAAGTTGGCGATACGTGGCGAGCAGGGTGTCGCGGCGGCGACGTTGGCGATGATTACAGATCTGCATTAAATTTTTAAATTTTTAAATTTGCATAATGCTCTCATTTTAAGGTTATTATAGTTTAGCTAAAGAATGCTGTTTTTTAAATGTACTTTTATTCCAAAATAAAATAAGTAACTTTGTGCACATAACTTGCAAAACCAATATTTTCGAGGATAACACATTTTTTGTTTCGGTTTGTTTATTTTGAATAAACAAAACAAAACAAACCATTCAAAAAACAACCGGTTTGAATGTTTTGTTTCGGTTTGCAAGAAAAAACCGAAAATTTTGAAACAAACCGAAACATTGCGACCCCTAGTTTTTTGCGCCTTGCATGCATTTCTTGCAGGTCAAAATACCTGCAAAAAACTTTTCTTATCCTTAATTCTTTTAAATTGTTACTTACACCTATTTGCGCCACCCAAAAAGCTAGAAGTTGGGCCAAGTTGGGGACGAAAGTGATGACGAGAATGTTCGCGGCCCAGGCGTAGGCACCGATGTAGGCTTCCAGAAGGGAGAAGAGGAAGACGTTGGTGGGCGTGGGGGAAGTTAAGCAAGTCGAGAAGAAGATTGACATTTGGGGGTAATTCATGCTTAAGGAGAAGACACAACAGGGGAAGAGACCGATCATGAAGAGTCCCATCTTGATGTTGGCGAGGAGACCGTCGTCATCGGTGGGGTAGGGGGATTTTACAAGGGGGAGATACTCGGCTGAAAATAATGACCCAGTTCACGTAATCATTGGTAACTTTGTAAAATCCGTAAGTTTGTACCAACCAAGTTTCAACCAACTTTTCAAACTAAAAAGACTCGCTCAATCTGAGTACATAAGTTTACAAAAATTTGTAACAGCTACTTCTCCTTCGAATTGTTTGTAAATTTTGTAAAAGTTTGTAAGTTTACAAAATTTACCGGTTTTACATTATGCATTATCATCGTTTCAATAAAAATAAATTTTATAGCTCAACGCCAAAGTCAAAATATAGGAATTAGGATTTTAAAGCGTTCAATTTGTAGATGAACATCTTCGTGGTAGACAACAATCAAAATTGCATTGACTTACAATTAGTCTCTAATCAAAAAATCTTATACACAGGTTCAGGTCCTTAACTTGTTTTAAGATTCAAAATGGAAACATTAGGTATCGTTGCTTTCGAGTTCTTTATCTTTTTCATATTTTAGGAGGTTTTTTTTTGTCGAATTTGATCTCCATGCAATATGCAAAAAAAACTTATCGCGGAAACGGAGATTTGTAAAGTTAGCAGGTTTACGAAAAAATAAAAATATCGGGAAATTCTACGTGGATTAACCACCTTTTCACCAAAATTTACGCCGTGACCTTGTTAAATTCGGATATGAACTAACCTTGAGAATTCCGACTGAATTGAGCACAGCCCTCAAAAAGGGGGCAAAATTGGTGACGATACTTCCATAAGAGGACGTTTGCCCACCACGCGGCCCAATTAGTGACGATGAAGACCCACTGCATGACCATGGGGGACAACTCTTTGGCGGGGATGAGAACCCAGAATAACTGATAAAAGAGGAATATCTCCTTAACTCCTAGCAGGACCTGCCCCACCCACCAGGCCGGCACGTTTAATCGGGCCCCTTTTCGTACCGAATAGCGAAAAGTACGTCGGATCGCGTCCCAACGGAAGGGCGTCAACCCAAAGCGGAACAAGAGGGGAAAATACTTGTCGAAATAGACCAGCGTGGCGTCAGAAATCATAATGGCGAAGGCTGAAATTGGGGGAGGGGAGTAATTTGGGAGGAATAAATAAGTTTCTGAATATTTTTTTATATGCGGAAATTTAATGGATGGATGTTTATGAAATTTAATAAATAAAAAAATTCTAAAGTTTTAAAATTTGGAAATATTTAAAGGGCTAACATTGTGAGCAATTAATTAGTTTTATACTTTTACAAGCAGAAATTAGTCTATTGGTAATTCAGTACAAAAAAGCTCGGACATTTTAGAAAATTTGGAAAGACTACAGAAAATTTAAAATTTGACACATTTTGACATCTTTTACAGAATAAATAATTTATTTTTAAGCAAAAATAAACATTTTAGATGTTACCGGATTACTCGGGAGTTTTAGAAAATTCTAATTCGGTTCACTCCGATCATGTAAACTGTGCAAATCTCTGCATAATTTCTGCAAACTTATTCACCTTTTGTCGAGATTACGAAGGAAATGTGCACAATTTATGGGGTTACAAACATCCTAGTAAAATGGATGAATATGTATGTATGAATTAACAACAGCCTTGCTTTATGTCTCGGTTGAGATTGAAATTTAGAACGAAATGATGGGAAGCAAATAACAATTTGGACGATGTATATTTTGCAAAATAGTGTCATTAATTTTTCGTACGTTTAAATTACTGGTTGCAAATTCTTGCCTGTTCTTGTTTCGGAGTGGGAAATATGTACTTACAAATTGATTACCAGCTAGATTGCTTGTACATACATATTTGCTTACTTTTTCATAAATAAATACGTCTGGTCCACGTGTATACTGGTGAATTTTTCACATAACAATATTTTGTTCCCAAAGCGCAAATTTTTTATGACGAGGTCAAAGAAAGCGATGGATGGGTTTTGTTGCGAATTTGCGATAATGATTATTTATGAGATAATCAAGCTTGGAATTTTAGAAATTAAAGATTCATAAGGATGGCAGTGTACGTTAGAAGTAAAATATTTAGCTGGCTGGAGATGGGAAAAAAATTCATACGCCTGAGAGTGACATGTTTTCTGAAATTTTGAACTGCTCCAAATATTATGAAAAAACGTAAAAATAAATATTTTTCAAAATGTTTCGCAATTTTTCGTCACATTTTCCTTTAAACTCATTGCTCAGCTTTAATTTGAGTACAAATTTGTTTAGCAAGCTTTTGTCTAAATTTTGGCAAAATTATGTGCAAAATTTGATACGTTATGTATGAAAAAGTTAACAATGGATTTTTTTTTCTCATGAATAGATTTAAAAGTCGATAGTGATTTTTATAGATACATAATGAAAGTAACATGACGGCCTAGATCACAATCGTCGCATTTCAAAGGTATTCAAGTATTGCTAGGTTTGCACTGTTTTTCAAAAAAATTGCAAATTTTGATACAAATGTGATTAACACATAATTAATTTAGTATTTATTTCTTTGGTGTGCAGACAAATTTCACAATTAAGAAATTAATATTTGGTTTACAACTTATTTTACAATTTTCCTCGAAGAAAAAGAAAACATTTAAATTTCTGAAATTCTTTGTAACCTAATGTGTTGTATGTGTGGTTTGGCATTTTAAATAAATTATTCGACACCACGTCAATATTTGTAAACTTTGTAAGGTTATTAAGAAACTCGTGGTCTGTTCCATAATCTGCTTAGGTATCTGCTACTTTAATTAATTAATTAACTCGTAATTTTGCCAGCTAAATTTGCACAGTTTACAAAGTTTTTCATGAAAACCTGAGTCATAATTAAGTTAAGTAATTAATTAATAAATAAATAATAAAAAACACGTAAAAAAACTAGACACGAAATAAATATTGCAAAAACTATATTTTTAACTTGTTAATTAATCAACTAATTTATAAATTACTAATTAATTTCTATGTACAGCATTACACTGATTTACCGAAATTTGTATATTCTTCAGTTTGCATTTTGGTTTAATTTGACGGGAAGATTTTCTGACAGTCGATGAATAAATAAGTAATAAATAATCTCGTTAAATAATTGTAGCTAGTTAGTTAATCAACAATTATACTTTTCTCATTCCTAACTTGCGCCATAGTTAAAGTATAACATGGGCGCAAGTTGGTAAATGGTAAAGCATGATAAATACACCTTTAATTAAATCTCTAATTCATGATTACTTGTAAAAAAAAACTTATGGTAAATTATGTTACGAATACAATTAATACTTGGAGATCTCTCGTCATGATAAATACCCCTCTAACATTAAAGCAACATGGATAAGCTGTTATCATCGATAAGTAATTTGTCATCCATCATTATAAAGTTAATTGCACTGTCCTGCTTTTGGAGTAGATTTTGTTGAGAAGAACCGGTCATTGTGAAGGCTTGATTTTGAAAATTTGCTGAAAATTGTCATAATTTTGTCCATGATTAAGTGTAACGATTATTTTTGTAAACTTGGTAAACGTTACGAGGAGGAGAATTTGTAAATTTGAAGACGAAGAATCGGAAGGAAATATACATAGCGTCAGACAGGCACGGATAGATTGTAGTTTACATGTACATATGTACTTCATCTTGATAAGATAAGATAAAGTGGACAGTTATCATGTCAAGGTCAAGGGCATAATATGGTAACGTTGATAAGTATCCAGGTAAAAAATAATGGCATGGCACAATAGTTAACAATTACAATTAACAGGGGAGGAAATATTACTGATTTTGTGGTCATACTAAATAAATACCTTATAAATTACAGAATTAAGATAAGTGCGGTACGGACACGGGGAGGAGAATATGACGACACAAATTTCACTCGGGTATTTGTAAACTGGGAAAAATTATTTTACAAGAGCTTCGCAAGTTTTTGGGTGGATTTGTAACTTGCAAATGTTTTGCAAATTTGCAAACATTGAACTGATAACTAATTAGAATACTTAACTGTCTCCACGTACGTTACAAGTTTTTTTGTCTAACTTAATTTGAACTACGATTTAACAATACAAGTTTTCTTTACATGTTTTTATCCTCTTAATTAACAATTAAAATTTGTCATCTGAATTAATCAATTTTGAACATTTAGTTAAATTTTTAAATTATGTGTGTGAATTTTTCAAACTTTACAAGTAATAATTCTAATTAATGAATTTTTTGAACATTAAATTGCTCTCTTCTCTGGAATAATTATTTATACAATATTGCTGAATACACAAGTAATTAAGTAATTGGATCACTTTGCCAATTTGCTGATTTTCACACTAGATTTACAAATTTGAAACACATATGTATTAATTTAATACGCACCATGCTTAATTAATTAATTAGTGTAGTAATTAGTATTTAAATCTGCTGCACAATTTCTACCGGTAAATATTTGTACACTGAATTAAGACATGTATTTAGTTAATTACTATTTAGTAAAATGAGAGTCTGAAATGGCGAAATCTCGTTAACAATAATTTATCTATGTTGGGAAATACTGCACTGGATTTTTGGTTGGATTGTCAAACAAGTGGGGGCGGATGGGGGGATGAAAGAAGGTATTCGTCTCGTATTACGAAACGTCATCGATCTGATGCGTCGTTTGGAGATGTTTCTTATAATTGTGCATCACGGTAAAGCTGCTCTTGCAAAAGCGACATTTAAAGGCTGCAATTTAAAAAAGAAACGAGAATTAGATGGAGTTTTGATATAAATTATGGCAAATTGAGGCAAATCACTCGGATTTTTATAAATTGTTGGAGTAAATTTTGTAAAATTGTGTATTTTATAACAATTTAGAGGCGTGCTCTTTAAGGATAGATTTCCAACCAGATTTTGATTTCGAAATCTTTGTAAACTTGTGGAAACAGCGATAAATATTTGAAATCTTTGTAAACTTATGCAAATTTAAGAAAATTTCGCAAAGTTTATAAATATACGAGTAATTTTCCCAATGTAATAATTAATAACTAATAATTTACGTTTTTCTCCTGTGTGAATTCTGAGATGTGTCTTCATTGATGAACTTTGAGAGAATCCACGGTCACAGACGGGACACTATTTAATTAAAAATTAATTGATAAATTTTAAAATAAAATTATAAATTGTAAGGAAAATTTATTTAATTAACCTTGTATGGTTTTTCGCCCGTGTGTATCCTCAAGTGCACGGTCAACTCTTGCCTCTTTTTAAACCTTTTGCCACAATAGGCGCAAGCGAACGGTTTGACATTTGAGGGGTCGTTGTTGTTCGAGGCGGAATCCTGACCTGTGAACAAAAGAAAAAGAATAATAAATATGTTAGTAAAAGAAATGTAATTTAGAGACTGAATCAGATCCAGAGTTTTTTCAGTGATACATTTTTACAAAATATCCGTAGAAAAAAACAATCTAAAACCAATTATAAAAATTTAATAAATCCTTAAATTTCATATTCGACATTCAAGATATACAATACTTATTTTCACAGAAATGTCAAATTTTAAAACTCTGTGGTCCACAGAACTCGATTTATCTCAATTTCCTTATTTTGTACTACATACCTGACGGAGATCCTTGTTCTGATCCCGAATTATTCGCCGTGTTCATTCCAGACATGATGAGATTTGGGGGTTGAGAATGTTTTACGAGATGCGCTTTCAAGTGCCACTCTGAAGTGAACATTTTCGCGCAGGGGATGCATTTATAGCGTGGATTTCGCCGCATGCCACTTCCCCCACCACTTCCCCCACTGCCCAACCTGTTGTAATGCGGGTTGGTGAGAAGGTTCGAAGACGTGGAGGGGGGAGAGGACCCCAAATCGTGAGAGTGGTGCTGATTGTGATGGTGGTGGAGTCGATGGTGTGGAATTTCGCCACAGTCAGAGTCCGCGTTGGAGTCTTCAGACGAGGGGACGGACATGAGGGCGGAAGACCCTGCAAATTTATGCAAAAAAATGTAAAATCAATCCTAATTTGTGTACTATTTATTTCTTACCATTTTGAACTTCTTGTCCCAAAATGAATTCCGGGACGTGAGGAAAGACGACAAATTCTTCGACATTGAAATCTGATTGGTTATGATAGTTGTTGTCGTTATCATCGGTGTGCGATGTTCTTTCGTCGTTCACATCTGTACGCAAAAATTTAAGTTAGAAGAGAATAAACAATGTATAAAATTCTGATAAATCGTGAGTGGTTGAGAAAAGATACGAATAAAAAAGGCAAAATGGATTACCTCTTTTGTACAAAAATCTGGAATGAGACTGTCTATTTTCTGTGTTTCATAAAAAATGTGCAATTTAAGGGAGACTATTTAATAAACCAGTGAAAAATTTGAGGACAGATAACACGGACAAGACAATTAGAGGTGAAAATTAGGGATAAGCGAGGTGCAGGAAGCGATATTTTAAGGACAAACGAACCGTCGAAGCATAATTTTTTGACATAATTTTGCACCAATGGTGCAGAATGCTAATAAAGAAAGAACAATGCGAAGCAATAGTGTGCACAAATTAGCAGACACAGACCAAGAAGAAGTCTAACATTGGGACAAAAAGAACAATGAAAACTTGTAAACTCGTGAAAAACCACGTTATATTTTACACCCACCCCTCGGCGCCATCAATCCCATCGGACTTGACATCCCTAACGAAACAGATGTCGAATTTCCAACCCTGTTGTGATGACCTCCTCCGTGTTGGACGTGATTACTCCCGTGACCCTTACTGTCCCCTCCGTGACCATTATGTAGATGTTGCTGTTGACCCTCCGTGACCGTGATGTTCGCCCCGACGGAAGGAGGGGGACGATCATCATCATCATTATCGCCACCTCCGATCGACATTTCTTCACTCCCATCGCCATCTCCCAAGTGGACGATGTCGTGATGATGATTATTATTATTCGATTTGGACGACGACACCACCGAGGCTTCAGCGGACATCGCTTGCGCCAAAAAGTTGGCGTGACCTCCTGCTGTGAGGGATAGTTTGAGACCAAAATCGACCACCAATTCGTCTAAAGATTTAATTTATTGAATGCGTAAAGAAAGTGGAAAAACTCTTCTAAAAGCTCATTTTTATAGGAAAATGTTTACCAAATTTTTCCGAGAGGAACGATTCCAACACGAAGACTCGTCCCGTGAGTCGCCAGACGGTATCTTTCAACACGGCCATTTCCTTTTCTAAAGTTTGTTGACGAAGTTCCATCGCCAGGAGGGTGCTTTCTTCGGGATCTTCGATAGACGTCATGATGATGAATTAATTAATAAGGATGATAATAAATAGTAGCAACAATTAACAATTGTAAACAATTCACTAGGAAGTGTCCTTAACTCTGTTCTTTTTTTTAGAAATTTAGCGAAATTCTACAAAAAACCTCCTCTTCTTCTCGACAAGGAACAAGAGGCAGAAGAAGAACAAGGTTTGATCCATATTTTGGTTTTCTCGGGCGGTTGTAAAAGTTAAAAATTTTACGAAAATCACTCCGTCACTTTTAATTTATTTGCATTAATTAGCAATTAAAAATTTCATCTATTATTTCACACTTTAAATTGGAACGCATTTAATTATGCAGAAGACAGACACGATAAATCAATACCATTCATAAATACCCCTGGCTGTCAAATCAAATAACCAAATTCTAACTTTAACTTAATCGACAAAACCAAAACACCAATTAATTACTAATTAATGTAATGTCTCGATTAACTTTTTCCCGTCCCTCACTCACTCACTCACCAGTCGAGAAGTGCATATTTATTTTGCAAAAAAAACACACAGACTTATTTTAGACAGATCGAGCGAGTAAACGAGCGATATAAAGGAGGGGACGATACGTTAATTACGTCCGGAAAAAAGTGCGTATTTATTTATTCCCCTTATCGCACCACCCTTTCCTTTCTTATCGAACCAATGATAACCTCACTATAAAAAACAGACACCAATTTCCCCTCGTAATTACAGTTCAGCCCCCTTGAGTGAGTGAATCTCCTATAGGAAGAGGTAAGGAAAGGGTTGCTTGGTTTCTGGTGGTGGTGGTAATGCTGTGCTGTTGGTAAATAATAAATTAAATATGAGATGAGATTTTGTGGGGGGATGTGCGTAAAGGGGGTGACATAGTTTCGGTCATATTTTGACCTTTTTTCCCAAAATTTTGACCAATTTTGACCAATTTTCCCCCCTTAAAGGACCCCCATCCTTACCGTTGAGCCCCCTCTCCTAGGTGGATGTTGAATTTGAAGAGAGATTCACTTTTTTTTGTGTTGCTTCGTTCTTCTCGTAAGTAAGTAAATAAAACATTCATTTTTTAACGGGGAGATTTCTACATGGTTTTCGTTATGAATATATGAATGTGCTCGTACTTACATATGCGTATGCAGAGTTATAGATGTGTGAAAATGTATGGTATGTATGGTACATGGCGCAAGTTGAAGTTGGTATAATATCCCCACAGGGCAAAATATGCATATAGAATTGAATATGTATATGAGAAGAAATCCCTAGAAAAACGGGTGGGAGAGAGCTGGCTTCGAGTCTCGGAGGATGGATGCAATATATTCAATTCGTGGTGTATTATATATGCACCTTGTTGTAAAACTAGAATGTAAATCTGGTCGGGTAAGGAGAGGGATGTAGATATTATTATTGGAATGGAATGTGCGATGCGATGCTGCTATATATTCATGTAGAGGAGAGGGGAAATGTATACGTGTAAGTGGAATATGGTTTGTTTGGGTTCATCATTTGCATAGAATGGGTCGGGCGTGGCTTACGGGATATATATGTGTGTAATTAGTTGGCTAGTAGTATGTTTGAAATCTAGCTAGGATTTATTTATTATGCAGGTTTATGTATGTTTGGTTTGAATGCGTGAAATTAGGTATGAAGGAATGGTGTATTTGTGTACTTTTGACTTGGGGTGTGTAGAAGTGGGGAGATTTTTAATGTATTTTTTATGCATTTTTGATGCATTTTTTATGCGTGGAATTATTTTATATACAAACATTCCCTTTAAGGAAAGGGATGCTTTTCTAAAATTTGCACAATGTGTAAAATGCAGATCAATGCGCATTTTAATCAAATTTACGTGATTGTAATTTTGATTTGTCATAGTTTGTAATATACCTAACCAGCATGTTAAAAAATACTTTGCAAATTTAAAAAAAGCATAAACTTTGAACCATTACAAATTCCACGTTTCACGTAAAGATGGTCTGCATAGGTTGGAAATATGATTTAAAACCTTATTTATTAAATTACTTGAAAAACTTATTTTTTTTAATACGTACAAAGATTTCGAGACTAGATAATTATTTCAACTCCGACTTGACGCAGTTACATTTCATCTGTATTTTGAAAACTCTATGAAATTTACAAATTATAAAATTCAAATTTTATGTGAAGGCAGTAAAGTATACTGAGGATGAGTATGTAAACATGATTTTTTATATGTACATTTTCACAAATTTTGTATTTTTTTGGAAGAACTATAACGATTACGAGGAGACCACAAGTATTAGTTTGTCACTTAAATTGTTCCCTGATCAATTACCCCAGGTTTAGACTTCACGTTAGCATCACGTTCTCCTCCCAATCCGATTTTTTGATTTGTCGAAATTTTTAATTGTCTTAGTGATGTTTTTGATTAGCCAATCAAAAAATCGGATTGGGAGGAGAACGTGATGCTAACGTGAAGTCTAAACCCGGCGTTTAATTCTAATATTTAGTTAACGTCAAGATTTTATAGGTTTCCTAGTAGATTCTAACACTTCGTTTTCCCCTGTGACAAATTTGGTGGCGTGGCGTCGGCTTGGTTTTCGAGTGACAATATAAGTTAACACGTGTACTCCTCTCGGACGTCGTTATCATTCCCTTCATGCGTGCAGGACATGAATCCGAGCCCCTTCTTCCGAGGAGAATAGTTCAACATTAAAGAACAAATCCCGACGGTGCAGCTCAACGCCACGGCGATGTACGTGGTCAGCATATAAATCCGAGCGAAACGACCCTACGATTTAACCCAGTTTTGATACGGATTTAAATAATTTGCATATTTTTGCATATTGCACTCACGGGCGCATCGAATCGTTCCCTCTCGTCCAAAACGGGCATCGGTGAGAAGAGGATGATACGACGCTGAGTCAGCTTCATTACCGCGTCACTGCGACACTGCAGAATCTGAAAGGTAGATAAGACGACGATAAGATAAGCGTCAAATGACCGGTAACTCGATAATTTTTGGGATAAATTGTACCGTCATCATGACGTGCATGACAAGGTCGAAGACGATCCAGCCCACGACAATCATGAAGACGGCCTCCTTCGTCAGATTAGGCCCGAAGAAATGTAGGACCGCAAAATCTTGATAGGCCGCGGGTGAGCCGGGAATCGCATTCGACGTCAGCATGCAAGCCACTACGTATTTAGAGGTCACAAAACGTTACAAACTGGTGACCTGTGACCTGACCTTCGTTTTCCCATTGACTTACGACCCATCCAATAAAAGAGAAACCCCATGACGCCATGCAGAATAATTATGACTCCCCGAAACTGTCTGTTCAGCGGTCGAATTCCACCCAGGAGGAAGAGAAGACCCGAAATTACGACAGAAATCCAACCCATGATGCGATGCGCGGTGGCTGCGTGGCTCAAACTGACCCCGAAAATCGCCTTGCTCCCAATTTGTCGCGTCAATCCGACAATGAAGAGAAGTACGGTGATGAAGGAGAGGGAAAGGTGGACCTGTAAATTATTTATTTATTTACGGTAAAAGACGAGTAAATTTAACCTGGGACTCAATGACTTATCGGAAATATTGTAAAAATCCACACATTTTTATTCATTAATTTCTCGGGTCTGGGAATTTATTTAAAAATTCAGGACGACAAATTTGTAAAGCAGGTCGTTGCTAATTTTTTAAAATGTACACTCCAGATTTGGCCAGTTTTTGAAGGAGGAAACCTCACGAAGCCTTCAGAAAAATTGGAACTCATCGAAAATGGCTGAAAAAACTCCATCAATCAACTAGTTATTTTTGTGTGATTTTAACGTTAGAATTTAAATATTTTAAAATATCGAATACTTAAATGATTCTATAAGATCGGAAAAAAATGATGCAGTTTTAAATATCTGAAAAAATCTTGAATTTTGAAAAGAAAAATGCAATAGAAAATGCAACGAAACATTTAATAATGAAATGCTTTATGACGAAATTCCTTGCAGTTATTTTTTTTACTATTTTTGACCTTGACATTTGACCTTTGTAGGGGGATAGTCAATGACTATTAGTCATTGATCACAACAAAGGACTCGATGACCAATGCCCAAAATCCTCAAAATCAGCACAGTTTTGTGATAATTTCTCGGATCTAGGAAATTATTTTTAAATTCTGGACAGTACCCTCCAGATTTTGACACTCTTTGAAGGAGGAGATCTCAAGTTTTAGAAACCTTCAGAAAAATTGGAACTTGTCAAACCTGGCTAAAAAAGCTCACCACCATTCCATCAATCAACTCAATCACTACAAAATTTGTCGTCCAGAATTTTAAAATACGTTCCCACAGCGGAGAAACAACTAAAACTTTGTAGATTTTGATGACAAGTCATCGAGTCCTAAATTTTTTTAAACTTGTCACTCACAAAGTACCAGACGTGATGAAGGAAGATCCGATTATTCATGAAGGTCTCTTTGAAGTACCGCGTCATGAAGAAGCTCACCGGCGTCACGAACATGACAAGGATCGTCATAAAAATCCCGTGAATCAGTCTCGAGTCCTGTCGTCACAATTTGCATAAAAAAATTAGCACACATACACCGGAAGTCCACCTTTAAGAGACTCACAAAAATGAAAAGCGTGAACGGATCTTCTGCCGCCAACATTCCCCTTTTGTACGCATTCGACTTCTTGAAAAGAGCATTGTTGCGAGTTTCAAGTTCTTTTAGTTTTATGTCGTCAATCGCTGTCAAGATTAATTAAGGAATAAATAATTAATTACGGCAACAGGATGAATTATGTGAGGGTTTGAGTTTTTTTTTGGAAAACGGGGCGAAGAAAATACCGGAAAATTCCCACACCCCACAAAAAAAGGACCCTAATTTTTGTTTTTTAAGTAGCTTCAGCTACTTTATAGGAAGACTTGTCCGTCTGTCTGTCCGCAGGATAACGGGAGAACGCATCGAGATAATCGAGATCGTTTTGCGGCATCATACATATATGTATGATGCCCTAGGGTCGTATACGACCCTAGGGGGAGGATCCTATAAACTTTTGGGGTCAATCGGACATTCCCCCACGAGAGGTCAGGATTGTGGTCACATATTTTTTGGGGGAATTACTATTAGATTATTCGGTTTATTAGATTATTTTCTCGGTTTTCTTCGCCTCCCGCTTTCCCGACAAACGCGTTTCCACGTTTCCAGCACATATCGGACCCATAAAATTAAATGGTCTCACATCCGGGGGCAAACGTTGTTAGGATTGTGAATGGTCTCGGGGGAAGGAGGGGGCACGAGAAGTTACGCATTTTCTCCATCACGTCGCAAATGAACGTGTTCCTATTGCTGTTTTCTTGCAGTCTTTTAGCGAACGTGATCCGGGAGTCGTGTTTCCTCTGGTGTTCCACCGTTTTGACGATCCTTCCCAAGGCAGGATCTGCAAATTAATTTATTGCGGTTAAAACCTCGCCAAATAAGGATATTTTCAGTGTTTCGTTCTTTTGCGGGTTTGCTATGCTACATTTCTGGCACTGCAACGCAAGAAATAAGTTAGCGGGACAGATTTTCTACGCGCCAAAAAAAATCACGTGCCCACTTGATTAACATTTTGGAGGCAGGCTAAAATTAAAATCAAATCTAGCCCGTTGACTTCGTAAATCCATAATAGTTTCCTACGCCGTGCATTTCTTGCAGGTCGAAATAGGTGCAGGAAACCACTTTCGTGCCGTTATTTCTTGCACGTCGGGACTCGCACCCGAAAAAAGACTGCAAAATGTGACCCTCACTTACCCAAGTTTACGTAGCCGTACTGAGCCATGAAAGCGTCACATTTCGGCGGACCATAATGCGTGCGCCCAATGCCATCCGTATTCCAGAGGGAATCCCTGCACCGCCCATTGATCGGGAGGATTTCGTCGCGGAACCAAGTCGCTATCGGAAACGTGGCGCCGATCTGATCGTCCATAAATCCGATTGGCGGGTGTCTCCGTTCCGCGAGCTTGCTCGTGTCCAGCACGACATCGTTCAGGCCCAAGTGCTCGGCATCCACGCCGGTACAGGTCGCATCGTAGTAGTAATGCGCATACGCTTCGAAGAACAGGGAACCCGGTGTCTTTCCGTAGAGGATGCAACGCTCCCCCTTCACCCAAGCGGGCGCCCCAGGCAACCGGTCGCCCGCATGGGCGCGCCACGTCTCCCAATCGAATTCGTTGAGGACGCGTTGAACCGCGGAGTGAAAGTGGGCCTGCGAGAAAATTTTGAAAAATTTTGGCTTTGATTATGGCATATGGGTTTTAGATTTTTGAAATTTTGGTAAAACCAGTTTTCCATTGTGTATAAAAACCAAATTTTATGGAAGTGCTGGGCATCCAAAACCGGATTTTGAAAATTTTGAAAATACCCTGGTTTTCTATTAGATATTCCGATTTTGGCATACTTTCGTAAAAGCGTTTAACGATTTTTTTGACTTTTTGAAATTTTCGTAAAAGCCGATTTTAAACTGTTTTTAACCGGTTGTACACCAAATTTTAAGAAATTTGTAAATATGACCTGCTAAAATTTAAAATCGGGTTTACAATTTTCGATTTTTTCCGAAAATTTCCGATTTTATTACCTGCGGTTGGTAGTTGGCTTCTGCCGTGCGGGGGTACTCGTAATAGTCGTCCCACGCCTGCCAGGCCGACTTCATCCAGTCGTCCCTGCTGTAAGGAGGGTCTTGAAACGTCCAGGTCCGGCGACCCCCAAATTTCTTACGGATTTCGTCCTTCTCAATGGTGTAAGGTATGCCAGAGTCGTTGTACCAGGGTGGGTGCAGGCTGTAGAGTTCTTCCTTCGTGGGCACGTCGATGATGTATTTGATCGCGCCGCCGAAGGTGGAATCCGCCGTGGCGTTATGGTTAAGGACCAAATCTGCGCCGGAAGTGATGGAGGCGCGGTGCTTGGTTTTGGTCCCGGGCCAAGTGAAGTCGGTCGAGTTGTTCATGATCCATTCGCCTTGCAGGGGAGCGGAGCACTTGACATTTTTCACGCCACGTGGGACAGGGTCCGCGTTTTCGTAGTAGGTCGGTCCGTGCATGGCGTGCGAGGAGGTGAAGACAAACCGGGTGGAGACGGAGCGTTGGACGGCTGAGGGGGGAAGACATGAGAAAATTGAGGTCACAGGTAGGGATGTCGTTGACCAATTGACATGTCAGAAATGTCAGATTTAAAATTTGTGAAGAATATTACAAATTTGACAAGTTCAAATTGTCATAATGTCTAATTGTCCGTCATATTTGTCATAAATGTCTAATTTGACCGTTAAATTTGTCATAAAGGTTTGTCACATTGGAATTGTGACAAATTGGATGGTCAAATTGACAAATATGACATAGATGACAAATTTACGACATACTATCCCCGTACTTAGGCTTTGCACCTCATTTGCATAAATCTCAATAGCCCATTTTCGGCGATACGAGCTTTCCATGTTGAATAAACTCTATGGCTCTCGCGAATGCGTTAAAATATGCAAATGAGGTGCAAGGGCTGAGTGCGAGGATAGTATGTATATCGCCTTGACACGGATAAGCTCCATCCTTAGTCAGAGGGCAAAGGTCAAATGTGTCAAAAACTTACTATAAACTATGTGAGAAGATCTTGGATAGTCCGGGTAAACTGGATAGTTCCATTTGTCGGGTCGGAGAACGATCCCGTTAGCGCTGGAATTACATACATATTGCGTTCAATATTTCCCTGAGATGATAAGTGCTTATCGAATTTTTTATATAACTTACACAAAGTCTAGATCATAGTATCGATTACAGAAGGAGTTATCCAATTTGAAATTGAGATGAATTTCGGTCAAATCTTCCGAATTCAGGTGGGTTTGACCGTACTTCGTTTTGGTTCCGTTTCTTGTCCTCGTATAGTAGAAATTATTTCCGTACTGGGGAAAAGGTCAATATATTTAAGGATAAATCCCGACCGGAAGTGGAAATGGACTCACCGTAGCCTCCGCGTACTGCACTGCTGCACACGGCATGAACTGTTGGGTCACGTATTCTGGATTATACCCTTCTTCCGCACAGCTTGGAAAATCCTGGACAAACTGACCAATCCCACCGACCCAAGCGCGTCTCACGTATTCTTTCCCTATGTATACAAAAGGCGTTAGGACATGGTTTTGACGAATTCATACTTTAATTGCGGGATGGTTTTTAGTCGTAGAGATTTCTAACTTGTTTTATCTGAAAGCCCATGTCTCAAACTATAGGTAAGCATATCTGGCTTCCGATTTTGTGTACTCTGCGAAATGAGGCAAGGTCAAATTTGGAGAGGTGTCCTTTTTTAGTTTTCCAAACCAGTGTTCTTATAAAATGGCGTTGAACTAAATATTTTTTTCTTAGGTCCTGATGCAAAAATCGTCTTTGCGACTATTTTTAAGGGACTTAGCATGCTTTTCACTATATAAAACCACGTTTGCCTTATGCGTATCTTTTAAGTCCGTTTTGCAGTCTAATTTCATACTTGTCTTAATGGAATGCTCTCTTTCACGCAACTCTTCCACTTTTAAGGCCCCCACATTTTACGACTTTGATGCTAAAAATCCCTAACGTGGTTTTTATCCAAGGTACATATAGTATATTGCACTTGAAGTACTTTTGACAAAATTTTGATAAGTGGTTATACCCCACGGACTGAGTTTTCATCAGACCTTATAAAATTTTTGGAAAAGTTCCCGTCGTTTTCGATGTCGAACTTCAGAAATAATTTAACTAACCAAAACGCAATAATTTTATTATTTTGTCACTTGTACCTTGTAGATAAAATAGTTCTGCAGTAGGGGACACAAAAAGATTAGTAAAATTTATTTTCTAAAAAATTTGACCATTAATTTTCCAAATAAGTTCACGAGTTTTTTAGGATTCCGCGACAGCTGATTAGCTAGGGTCGTTCTCCAAAACTGTTTACACAAAATCTTCACTGTTTAATTTAATATTATTTGGGACACTTAGAGCTTTGCCCTCAATCTTCATTTGACCGAGTGGGTCCGCGTTCAAGGTCAGCAGGTCAATTTTCCTGTGCACGGTCCAATTTATCAATTTTCATGAAAAAGTATCAGCGACGATGGAGGCCCAACATTATGTAATTCATGTAGATTCTTTTATTATTACATGCAATGATTATCTAGGGTTGTAATATTAACAATCATTCACCTCTGACCTCTTAGGTTATCATGCTATATGAGTAATTCAGTTTGGAAAGTGTTTTTTTGGCTCCTTCCAACTCTGGGGGCACTGGAGGGGGCATTTATAAAGCTATCGGCCTAAAATTTTAAATATATCTTTTTGAGAGTATTATCTTACAACTGACCAAAAATCAGTTCAAAATTCAACTCCCCGCCAGAGATATTCACCCGCGAATTCGTCAAAACCATGTCCTAACGCCTTTTGTATACGCAAATTGATTGTTACATATTTATCATATGGTTTATTTCGATTAGTGCTCCGCATGAATCTAAGAGCGAAGTCGGATTCACTTTCCGGAGCCGGAGCCGAATCAGAAAATGCCGAATTCAGACCTAGAGTCGAGGCGGGTTAACCGTCAAAAACAGGGAGTCAGAGTCGGATTCGAATCTCGGAGTCGAATTGGGCTCGGATTCATGCATAAGACTCTTATAGACAAAGCCGGAATCGGATTCACTCGAATTCGGACGACTCGACCGGAGTCGAATCCAAAAATACCCGGGATTGGCGAGTCCTCAAAAACATGATATCGAAGTGGACTTATGTTTCAGATTCAGAAGGTTTCGTGTGAAGCACGAATTTCTACAATTTAAAGGAATACTTTTATCCGGGTGACGTGGTTTCCCTCGCATGAGCGTTCTCCCCCGCGCTGTCACCATTAACTTGTCAACGACGACACTTCTCCGAATTTTCTCGATGTGGGAGGCTTCTGGTGTAACGGTGTTTTTGGCCTCCTCGGGGCGGACGTTGTGATCGATTTGGAGCGTAATTTTAAGGTGAAACCAGCCTGTGGAAGAAATTCGGGCTGAATTTGTAAATTGGTTAAGGAAAAATTATCTACCTTTGAGGAATCTTCCCCTGCTTTGAATCCCGGTCACATTCACGTGAAAAATGAACCCTGTTTCCGGGTTACGTTTAGCCAGTTCGTAGAGTTGGCCTCTTATCCGGCCGGCAGTGGTCCATCTTGGAAACCAATGCCAAGAAGTGGGTTCCTGCAACCAGAACATGGCGTGGGGCGTGCGATAACCAGCATCCTTCGATACCTTAAGTGGCATGATGGGCTGCTGATCTGGAAAGCAAGGAAAATAGTAAATTTTGTATTGCTCACTGTAAAATTAGGATTTTGTGTTATAAATTTTAGTGCAAAAAAACTACATCCAGCAAAATATTTTTGTCAAGAAATACAGTATTTTTGAGTCCCCGTTCTTGCCAGGGTTTGGACTTTCAGGGCTATTTTGCAGCGACAAAAAGACGAAAATCTACGTGGAGAAAACAACGATAGAAGCAAGATGCAAGTTTTGTGAAGAAATTAACTTTTTACAGCTGTCAAAATGCATTGTTTTCGTGATTTTTTGTAAAATTCAGTATTTTGACAGCGATTAAAACTTAATTTCTTTACACAGTCCATATTTTCGAATGAGTGAGGAATGTTCTCGATGCAGATTTTCATCTTTTTTTAGTTGGTAGGAATTCAAAGCCTGGGAAGAAGGGAGTTAGAAAAATAGCAGTGGCCACGGAAGCGTGGAGACAATGTCCCCACGGTTATTCGATGTCCCCATCGTCTGCCCATATTATATAAACCCCACCTTCCCCCCATCCTGCAACGTTAATTCCCCCAGATGTCACCGCACAGCTTGCGCGGCCACTGAAAAATAATGTATTGAGGCAACCAACTTACTTGTATCCTGAGTATCCTTAAGGCGCGGATTGGGAACGTTGGAGCAAAAGTAGTGGGGGTTAAAATTCCCCCTAAAATCATTCCGGAAAAAGTCCCACGGTTCTAACAGCTCGTTGCCATTATTAACCCCCGCAACCACGCCGATAGTGTCGGTGGGGAGGCTGAGATTAAAAAAAGTAAATTCTTAGAATGGAAGTCTCCCAGCGAATGATCTTCGATTTTGAGCAAATTAGTGTCAATCGATCATAAATTGAATTAGTATGAAATTTGCAAAAGACGCGATCTCCCAATGGTCACGTTTGACAGAGATATTTGCATCCGAAGAGGAGAAAATGCTCGGGAAATTTTGAAAGAGTAAAATTTTTCGAATTTAGGACGCGTTTTCTCCTCTTCGGATGCAAATATCTCTGTCAAACGTGACCATTGGGAGATCGCGTCTTTTGAAAATAGCATATTACTCAAATTTGTGATCGATTGACACTAGTTTGTTCAAAATCACATTCTATGAAAAATTTCTCTTTTGGATTTCTTAAAACTTACCCTGGGCTTAGGAAAGCGAGACACGTGACATATCTGACTTTGTCACAGTTGAATTCCACATCGTTGGGATTCTTGAGCAGGTCCTTATTCTTCGGATCCACGTTTTTAAGTTGGAGGTCCCAGATTTGGGCGATGTCTTCAAGATACGTGTACAGTTGGGGAGACACGTGATGGACCTGCTGCAGGGTCACGAGGAAAAGGAGGAGGAGAATGGTGGGGGTAGAAATTTGTCGACATGGTGGCGAAATAAACGCCATGGATGGTTCGTCGCAATGATGTTTTGGCAAAACGTTTTCGAACGTTTTGAGAGTGCGAGGTTTTTTATTTAAAAAGATAATTAACTTCTTATTGTGCGAGGAAGAATAAGAGTGCAAAATTCATTCACAATTTATTTTCGCTACTTGTATTTAATTGTAATTAAATCAGGATTCGTCAATCACTAACGGCTACGCGGAGGAAACGAATTGATTCATCCCGCAATTAAATTATTAATTCGACAATTTCCGAAATTTCAGATTTCCGAAACCCTGGAAATTATTGAAGATGTGTTTGCGTTAATAAAATTCCAATTTCTTTTATGCAAAAACATTATCTTTTTATTCAATTAAATTACCACATTTTCAAAAATGTATGAAATCGGCGCTAAAGTCACACATTTTTTTACAACTTTTTTGTAATGTGTAGAATTTGACTAAAGTTCAATTTTTATATTTTTTGTATGAAAATGACGTAATCATATTTTTGATGAGACAAGTTTTCCAAAACTTTTTTGTACATGCAACTTATGCATATTGGGAAAATCTCACCTTTTTCATTGGAAAATGAATAATAATTTTGCTAAAATAAATCAAATCGACGCCAAACTCACACCGTTTTTGTATAGCTTTTTATAATGTGTAGATTTTGTTCTACAAAGCTGAAGTATTTATATGCTTTTGTCATTATATGAAATTATGCATTTTTTATGGTTTTGTGTCATATTTTTAGAAAAAATTTCGGAATTTGTTTTTCATGCTAATTATGTACATTTGGGAAAAGTTCATCTTTTTCATTGAAAATTGAATAATAATTTCGTCCGAATAAATTAACTCGACGCCAAACTCGCACATTTTTTTCAACTTTCTCCAGTATATTTTCTTAAATTTTAAATTACGATATACCTAAATTACAAATATATTACATACAATAATTTTATGACGATGACTTTAATATAAAAAACGGAATTAAAACAGGCTAGCTTTACAATAATAATTAAATTAACTGACTTAAAGTTAGTTAATTAATTAATTAATGTGCTTTTTTAGGCAGGGAAGCAGAGCAGATACTTAATTGTAATATAGGCGTTTTGCTTGATAACTTATTAAATAGAAAAGTAAAGATATACCCGAATTTATGTATGTATAATTAGTTAATTTTTAGTAGGAAACTTTTTGAGTAGAAATTATCAAACTAAAATTAATTGGACAGTTATCAGAGATAATTAATTAATTTAGTAGTACTGCCCTCTCTACAACCCAACATATAAAATCTCTAGCTGGCTGGCTGGCGTATATTTTTTCAAAATTTTACAATGATTTAAAGCCAAACTAAACTACTAGGACGATATAATTATTTTAGAACAATTAATTAATTAATTAGTTGCAGCAGAAACGTTGTAATGTTATCATCATAATACGGATTTTTCGTTTACATAGTTAACATGACTGTTATATAAGGTGTGTTAATTTTAATTGGTATAATTAATTATGTATCATGCAAAATACTATCATTACTTAATTATTTAATTAGATTGATTATCTCGTTAACTATAGTGTTGAATACATAATAATAATTAATTAACTATCGATGATTTACATAAATTCGAGTCTGCAGAGTCGTGATGGTGTAATCTAATTAATTAATATTTTTTAGTAGTAGTTGTATTTAGGGTTATCATGTAACATTTAAATTAAAGATAATGTGTAATCATCATGATAAGCTAGCTATATATATGGTTGAAATGGTTACATCATAATAATAATTAGCTAACTAACTAAACTTAAGGTTAAGGCGCTAATAACTAAACTAACTTTCTAAAATATTTATCTTCTCACTATAATTAACTGTGTATCATCTTCTCATTGGTAGGTTTGGTTTGAATAAGGTTTGCAGTGAATAATTTAATTAAAACACTTCTGAAAAAAAAGATGAAATTTTGAAAATTTGTCGTCGTCAAAATAGAAATCAGTGGAGCTACAAATAGCTTGCGTGCATCATTTTGGTAATTCTAATTAATAGCTTTTCATAGATTAAAGTTAATAGTTAATTCGTCATTATAAATAACAACCCCTAATTTTTGGCAGATTTATAGTTTCATCAAAATTTGAATAGAAGATTCCGAGGTTTGTTTTTTCCTTTAAAGCGTCCAACCCGCATAAAGAATTTAATTAAATATATATTTAAAGTGCGGATGCGACACTTTTCGTAATTATGTAAACCGACATCAAATCTTACTTCCTTCGTATATAAAATGTAAATCTGTCTCTCTCAATTTTTTTACGCAATCGTGATCAAAAGTCGGAAAAAGGAAATCAAAAAGAAGACTAAGAAAAAAGTCAGTGTGGAAAACTAACTAACTAAATTTAAATTAATTAATTAAATGTACAACTTAATCCAGGCGAAAAAGAACGAAAACTAATCCACTATCGTCAACCAAGGAAGGGATTTTCTTTAACGGGTGACCACGGATTATTTGCAGGAGGTCGAGACACTGAGGACGACAATCCGAAACCATTATTTCCTCCGACATTAACTTGCTGTTGTTTCTCCCGGATTTCATTAATGCTCGGTTTGGCGATCGCGTTTTGGAGGTGGAACGGATTGACGGGTTGTGCCGGACCGTTATTTAGCATGGAGGAGGAGGACAGCAAACTGGTAGCGGGCGGAGGCGCGAAGGGATTTGCTTGCTGGAAGGCGTTCGCCATGGAGGAGGAGGTCGCCGCCGAGGACGAGTGAGGTTTCGCCGGGGGGACTAAATTGTCCAAGTTGACGAGGCCACTGTTCTCGCCGAGGAAATCGAGCGGATCTTTTTTGTTATTTCGGGATGAAAAGTTATCCGGAGTGGAGTTGGCGGAGCGGGAGGTGTTCATTGGTGTGAGGAGGGTGGGTCCGAGGGGGTCGAGGTTGAAGGGGGACGAAAGTTCGGTCCGCTTGGAGAGGATGTCAAATTCGTCTTCGACGACGGGTGAGGCTACAACCATGGCGGAGGAGGAGCCGGGTGACCATGGATCGGCGGGGGGATGATGGTTCGATGGAGTTGAGGTGGACCAGGGATCTAGTTTGGAAGAAAGTAATGGATTTTAGTAAGTTTTTAGTTTGAATTTTTGAGATTTTTGAGTAAAATTATATCCAAAAAATTAAACTGAAGACGGAGCCTAGTTTTTTCGGTCATTTTAAAGAAAGCAATGGATTCTAGTAATTTTTGGCTTGAATTCTGCGAAGTTTTCAAGTAAAATTATATCCAAAAAATGTTTCAAGCTTGTGACTGTTTTTCACGACAATTGTCACCCCATTTCGCCCACTTATTCTCTAAATCTCCCAAAAATAAAGTCCTTACCCCCCGAAATACCTCCAACTGCTCCTCCCGAAGCAGAATTAGGATACCACGGATCCTGCGGTGATGTCAACGTGCTACTCGCCCCACTCCAAGGATCTGCTCCTCCTCCCCCAAGATTATTATGGTGATGATTACTATTACTTGAAGACGACATCAACAGAGCGGATGACTGATGTTTTGGCGCCCAAGGATCCGGCCCTACTATTCCACCCACAGCACCCTGCGCCTCCAGACCCGCAGCGCCACCAAGGTCGACATCCAATAGATCGACGAGAGCAGATGAATTCTTACTGTCGTTACTTTTAGATCCACCCGCACCTCGGAAATAATCACTTTTCGACTCGTCTTCACCTTTTGGAAAGAGGAAGAAAGTTGCAAATTTTAATAAATTGCAATAAAATGACGCGTTATTTATTTTAAAATTTAAAATTTAATAAAATTTGCTCACTTTGGGACAATGCCATTTGGAGTTTGAGGTCATCCGAGCGTCGCCGTTTTTCCTCTTGGTCTGCTTCCTCTTTCGACATGGCGAGGGCGAGTTGGAGCTGAAGTTGGAGAAATATTTCCATTTTTATTGGTTGAACTTGAAGTTTATCATAATTTTGAAATCTTCCTTCATAAGTAATTAAACAAAAAATTCTTGTCGATGTCAAATTGTAATTATATTTGCTTTTCCAAAATTAGGAAATTTATGATAAAAAATGAAAATTTATGAAGGAAGAGTAAACGCAGCGTCCCCAAAGTCTGGGACGGAACTGTGATTATTCTTTTGTTTTAACATATATTTTTTTACTTGGAGTTCTTCCTCGCCCACAGTTTGTGGCCGGGCTTGTTCCAGCTCTGGGTTGACGCGATGCGAGGAGGAGGATCTGCCATGGCCGCTACCCCCGTTCATTGCATCATTTGAGCCGTGACCACCACCGAAACCAGAACCAAATACGGGACTGGTGGGCGTCGTCTCGTTCGAGTCAGAAGAACCAAAGCCAGACACGGTTTGCGCAAATCTGGAAAGAAATTGGATACATTTTTATAGAGTCAAATTTCAGGATGAACTAATTTTGTCTGATTTTTACGCAGGGAACAGGATCAAAGGTCAAAATATCGTGTTTTTATACCTTTCTCTCGCCTTCAACGCTCGGGCACGCTCATTCCTCAGTCGTTCCTCGGACGTGAGGAGGGTGACGAGCTGCTTCGCCTTCTCACGAACGTTCATCCCTTGGTCCTTGTTGTCCTCGAAGTATTGGAAATCCTTCAGCGTTTGTATAGCAAAGATATTCTCCTTACATTGTTGGGCAACCTGGAAATATATAAATTAAGTAAATTATCATAAGAATATCTGTCTAGGAAAATTACGCAGAATAATTTTACAAAGATTTTGGTAAAATCAGAAGTTAGCACATAATTCGCTCATGTAATGAATCGCAGAGAAGATTAAATTAATTAATCACTTTTTGGCCAAAATCTTGCGAGATTACGTCACATTACAAAAATAAGGGACTTATTTTCGCAAAGTTTCGCAACCTTGCAAAATCTTATCCTTAGATAAGTCAATTAGTTAGCTAATTACCCGCTCCGACCCCGTCTTAATGAGGTACTCCAGTAGTACGAGTGACTTGTAAACATGCCGCCAATTCTTGCCATGATCGTTCAACCGCTTCCACAACATTTCCATGATCTGTGCAAAGGCTTCTATGTTGTACGTGAGGTCGGCAATTTCCGACATGAGGGTGCTCGACGGACCCCATGGATCATTACTTGTCGCCTCGCGCACCTTTTTCTACAATACAAAAACAATACACACTTTTAAACCAATCCCCACCACAAACAATCAACTTTTTTATGTAATTTTTCCTCACCTGCGGTTCTGTATAGTTGTGCGCTATATTTTTTATATTCCTCCTCAACCCGGCCACGCTTACTTGCATCTTGACTAAATTTCCGGTGTGTACTTATTTAAACACGTTAAAAACCCCCGTCTAAAAAAAGTAAAAGAGAACACAACAACAAAATTTAGGGAATCAATGACTCGTAAAATTTTCCACTCATCCAATCCACTCACGATAAGATTCTTCTCCTACTAATTTTCTGTATTATATTATATCTTCTTCTTGACCCTTGTCCTTGACTTGCTTCTTCTTCTTGGTCTGACTTTCCAGGCAGTGTATGTAACACGTATTAGTAAATTAGTTGTGGTGGAGGTGGTAGTGGTTCTTATCTCACTCTGAAAATGATTTAGTCCAGCCGAACTAGAGGACGAAATGAATGATTGTGAGGTGACACTCCTCCACTTTTTGTTGTTATGATCCAATCCAACCCACGGATTTGGTTAGGTTTTGCTCCACACGGTGAGAATTTATTATTTGACAGGGTATGTATGTATGTATTCCTCCTTAGATTGCAAATCAGGGTGAAGGAGCTGCTTGCTGGGTCGGTCGATCCTAATTGAATTTATTATCTAATTCACTCCAAATCCGAGGAACGAGAAGAAGAAGAGCGAGTCAATCAATTATTAATGGGACGAATATAATGTCATCTACACCAGGCGGAGAGATACACGAGGTTTCCTTGATCCATATGAAACCTGGAAATCGATAGAAGAAAAGTATATGTTAGATAAGTGACGTATGTAAATGGGTATCATTTTCGACGTAATTCAGTCACAATAAGTCTGAAATTAGGCACCTTTTTGATATTCAATTTGCATGGAATTCAATTCGCTTCTTCATGAAATGAATTGAATTGAGCAATTTTTCGACAGGAAGTCACCCTGATGAAAAATGCAACAGATGGGGAAGAATTTGTAACGTGTGGGGTTTAGAATGACGCCAAATAGCACATTATTTTCCGGCGGACGGAGAGAAAAATTGGGAATAAATCTCGACAAGACGGGAAAATGTGGACTAAACTAATAACTAAAAACCCATTTTCATTCCAACGTTATTTATCATTTTGAGTAGTGTGTGACTCATTACAAAGTTGGACCGGACGATAATAATATCATGTTTAATCGATTCTTGATAATTTGTCCTTATCAGAAAAATAATCTGTGAATCGTCATGTGTAGAACAAACAAGGGTTATGAATCAGAGGCGCAGAATAACATGAAAAATATGTATGTATATCAAAGCTTCTTGTCTGTCAGAATTTACACGTTAGTGTTTTTGCAACACAGAATTTGCACGGTCAGATCGGAGACACCGAAATCACTGGAAAATTCGAATATGTACAGAAACACAATTAAAATAAATCAAACTTTCTCCACTTGACGGTTAATTAAAACTAAGAGTCAATTCTGAATTTCATGCAAAACTTAATGAAACTTCGATCTCAAATCAATTATTAAACGGAATACATACATTACTAAATAACGATTGATTTTAAATTGCAGAGCAATTTTCAGGTTAATTTCGCAAACACAGAATTTGCATAGTGGGATCGGAGACACTAAAATCACCGAAAAATCCGATATGTGCAGACACACAACTAAAATAAATCAAACTTTCTCCACTTGACGGTTAATCAAATAATTGAGTTTAATCCTAAATTTACATGAAATTTTGATTTCGATTCCAAATAAAATTATTAAATAGATTACTAAATAACGATTGATTTTGAATTGCAGTTGGTTGTTGCCAATAATTTTGAATTACACTTGGCATGAATATTATTACGTGCAAATTCAGCTCAGTATTTACAATTCAGTTTCGTTAGTCGTTATTACTGGTTAGTCGAGCTTGCGAAAAAAGAAGGGTTTCGCGAATAACAACAACAATCAGTGAGCCAGGTGTGTGTGGATGAATTTAACAAGAAAAGTTGGCTCAATCAACAATAGGCCCTCGAAGAGAAGTAGTTTCATTCATGCAGTCAAGTGATATAGCATTGTTGTAAATATTCGGCCCATGTTAAGAACCACTATTATTCGGCTTACTGACCCATTTATTATTAGCCCTGCACCCCAAAAGCGAGATGAAGTTGCTTACTTGAAACTATAGGACGGATAATTATTTATTTTGCGAGGAAAATTTGCAGAAATATGCATTTAATATTTGCGAAAAAAATATTTCCGAAATATTTCTAAAAAAGAGCACTAAAATTATGAATTTCCTGGCATTTTTCACTAAATTATTATGTTGAATTTGATGTTCATAATTCCAATTTTGTTAAGAACAATACAATGTAGTCTGAAATTACGGAAAAATGCATCCAATATTTAAAAATGCATTTAATATTTAGGAAAAATATTACGAAATAGAGTAAAAAAAAATATTAATTTTCTGACATGTTTCGCTAAATTATTATTTTAAAGTTGATGTTAATTTTTTTGTATTTTCAATTGTCAATTCTGCAAAAAAAACAATACAATTTAGTATACATGTAAAATCTTCAAAAAAATAGAAATATTTAAACACTGTCAACTGTGAAAAAGTATTTCAAAATTTTAATGATTTTAATTTTTTCAGAATTGTGGACCACATCCGAATAAATATCCGCTCTATGCTACTAACTAATTCTAAACATGTTTGATCACTATTTAGTTATTTATTTATTACGCACTTTGCACATCTTCTTCAAGTTTTTAGTGTGAATTTAAATTTGTTACGATAATTTTTCACTGATAATAATTGGATTTTGTGTATTACAGAAAATGGGATGATTCTCTTTCTCTATGCTTGTGAGTTTTAAAGAAAAATGTACAAGTCAAGTTAGCACTTAAATCACTGGCACGTGAAATATGACCAATTTTACCGGCATTTATTTGTATTTAGTTAGTTTTTGTGCAATTAAAAAGCTTACGTTGTAGGAAAGAAAGCAATAAAAACGTAATGGAACGTGTTATCCCATTAAGTTTTAACAGTATGTTATCAGTTAGTTTTAGTTAATTAATGAATTAATGAATTAAATTAATTACCAAAGTTAATACACAAGGGCAACAGTTGACAATCTAATTATACAAGTTTTCGAAAATGCATATCCCATCAATTTTGTAAGTGTCGTTAAAGTTGAACAAAAAATATTTTGGGAATCAGTTTCTTACCCAATTAATTTTGAATTTGACCAAATATTAAGTTATTAAATAAATTAGCACTGCATTATAAAAATGTATCCACAAAAACGAAATTAAATTATTTCTGATTTCATGTACAATAAATCAAACAGAAAAATTATAAGTTTCCTTAAATTCACATCACCTCAATTTTGCATGTAAGGTTAAACTGACCAAAAAATAAAAACATTTAAAAGGAACCAATTTCTTACCCAATTTTGAATTTGATCAATTATTAAATTACTGAATTTTGTAAATGTATCCAAAAACGAAGTTAAATTATTTTTGATTTCGTGTACAATAAAATCAAACTGCCAAATTACAAGTTTCAGCCAACTTGGCTGGGAAAACTGTACAATCTTGAACGTACATTTATTTATCAATTGTGCGCTGCATATGTAATCGCCATTATTATTACATTATCCTGACTCGTTTGTTATCATTATTTAGATAAGTATGCATGCAAGCAAATTTTGAACAGTAATTATCTCATCTTTTCTCTCCCCCAACAAACAACAAAGCAATTATTGACATCGAACGACACGAGTATACAAAGTTCAATACACTGGAGGGCTCAATATTAAAACGATAAATTTTACTATAAATAAATAAGTGCAAAAGTATAATGATCGCATTTAAAAACAAAAGTCTGGATCGTACTTGACTTTAGTTTAAGCATGGATAGTTCTGGAAAAACAAAGCATACTCTTGTGATCATGATGGGTAACAAATTGCTGCTAATGAAGAGTTTAATTATGAACTCGTCCGTATTTTAGTTCTCATCTCAATTAGCTCGTCTTTGTTAACCGCATGACTATTTAAAATACAGCGCTTGAATTAATTAACTCGGATTTTTGTAAACTGTGGGCGTACTCACATAGCTTGTGAAATTTTAGAGATTTCAAATTAGCCAGAAAACTATGCGAATTTTGTATCATAAACTCCGTAATCTTTTACAAACGGATTGTTTCGTTCGACGAGTTTGTAAACTTTACGAAGAAACAAAATCAGGTTATACAAACGAATCATTTCGACAAGCTTACAAACTTCACGAATAACACGTCATAATTTGACAAAAGCGTGCATGTTTACACACACGGATCAAATCATGTGTCTCTTCATAGTCTAGCAGAGCAGTTTGTTACATACCATACTTTTACGAAACTTTACCCAGTTTGCGAAATCCGCAACTTGAGTAATTAACTGCACTCGTACATATTACGAGAGAAAGCACCTCGTCAAAAACATATGGCGCATACATGATGCAAATATTATGCTCACACATTCATGATTCAGAGTTCATGACTTAACGAAAGTGCTAATAAATAATTATTACGAAACAACAAAGAAGCAATCTCTGCGCAGACAATTTTAATGCGGGTACGTATTAAAACATTTACATACATGGATTCATATTCATGCAAGTAATAAGTGAGTGAGAACAGAGGGAGGAGTGAACTATTGTTCACAAACCGTGTATTAAAACTACAAAGGGTGCAACAGCCTCTTGAATTTATTTACAAGGGGGCCATTCAAATTACGTGATTTATTTATAAAAAATCACCCATTTTATTTACAAGCTGGGCTGGACTAACTATACATAAAGTGAACGAGTTATGTACTGTGCGGGTGGAGCTTAAACCTACGGCCTCCTGAAGTACCTTGTGCTGAGACTAGGGTTTCTCGTGAGTTTAGCTCCATTCGCACAGCACATAACTAACTCACTTCAAGTATAACTCACTTCAAGTATAGCTAACTAACAGATGATAAATTCTGATATTTACGCCATAACGGAATAAATTACGATAATATTTGAACGGCCCCTCCTTATTTACATGTGGTCCAGCAGTAGGTACAAAATGAGCCAAAAGTGCAAGTCTTTTTCGCATCGATTTCACCAAATTGCACATAAAAAATTACAAATTCAGTTTTGGGTGGGGGGATTAATATAGCATAGCTTTTTTGAATTATATTCAACCACACCCCCTTCAAAAATTGGGGAAGAAAATTGGGAAAAATGAGAAGGTCAATGTACACTCGGTACAGAAAGAAGTAGATACCAACTTGCATTTGACATTTGACTCCCCTCATGAGTATGAACATTTTGATGCATCAAGACTTTCAAAATTCGAAAATTGGCGGTTTTTCGACCTACATATAAATCGTTAAAAAAGTGACCTTAGCGGTCATTTTGCGGCTGACAACCTGATGCCAGATTTTTCTTCGTCAGAAGTGCCACATTTTCCGCTTTTGTTGTCCGCTGCGAAATGACCGCTACCATGACTTTTTTGGGGTCAAAGTTTCTGAGGGAGGGGCTTATACAGCAAGAGCCATAACAAACTCTGGCCACTAATGAGTACAGAGAGAGAGAAACAGAGTGAGAAAATGGATCGCGCATACGATCCTAACGCACGATGGTGGTGGATACCCACCGCCAACTACTTTTCTCACTCTGTCTCATCTTCTCCTGCGAAATATGGGAAATGATTTTGTGTTACATTTGGCCTGGTTTTTATCAGTATCATCATAAATGTGGGAATTTTTTCTGTGGGCGGCTTTTAACGTTGCAAAACTAATCAAGAATGATGTGGTGTAAAGACACGAGGAACATCAGAGAAGGATGAACGAGACGAGAAAATAATGCGGGGCGGTGCATAAATGATGGGATGGATTTAGGGAAATTTTGCCAATGCCAAATTTCGCAAAATTTTGCCAAATTTTAGCATAGGAAAGAAGGAGACGATCTACCCCGTTAAATCGACCCATCCTTTATGCAGGGCCCCCACGTAGCATCGTACCAGCCGGAGACGACTCCTTTATAAGAGGAAGAGACGAATGAAATGAAAACAATTAACTTTTTAACTACTATTGTGCTCAATTGGCTAATAAATAAATCGAGTAAAAGTAAATTCCATTGTATTTGTATTCGTCAGAAGATTGCAATTTTCGGGTTGAGATGAAAATCAAAATCAAATCTACAAAAATGTCTTAACTGTAAATCGCAAAAAAAACTGTGTGCAAAATTTCCACCGATTTCTTTTTGCGTGAAAGAGAGATTACTTGATAAAATTTCTATGAAGCACGTCCACAAAATCCAGGGTGGATTTATGGACAAAATATTTCTCCCCCTGCCTGTGCAGGGAGATTATTTGCAAAATTTCTGCACAGATCCAATTCCGTGCCTCATTTCCATTTAAGCCTGACCGAGCAAATTGGATCATGCTATTTACTTAGCGAAATCCAAAAAGCACCCTTTAATTTAAATCCAGTGGTGGAACAAAAAGGAGAATCGATTCGCATGATGAAAGTATGCATGATGTTGATCCGAAATTCGTTTCATCTCCGAGAACACCCGTCAAGACCAGACTTTTTTCATGTAAAGTGGAATAAAAAAAGTTGAGGAGCAAATTGGAAATGCAAGATGAAAACTAGAGTAAAGTAAATTTTTGATGGTGCTGTGACAGACGGAACCTTTATAATTTTGCGAGGGGCATACATATGGATTTTGCGAAAATTTTGCAATAAATACCGTGTGACCTTTTTTGCACAACTTTTCTGGACGGCGCTTTTTAAACAGCAGGAAAGGAAGGTGAACCAGGATTATGTTTAAAACATGAAGATCATTCACTTTTCATTTTGCTTGCATATCCACTTAAACTGTTGCGTTTAAGTTATAACTAAACATAAACTTGAGACAGGATATAGTTTGTGCTGTGCTGCTGAATTTCATGAATAAATAAACACAAAGGATGGCGGAGAACGGAGGTGGTTTGGTAATTTTGAGAGGGGTCGGTCATATAGTAGGTCAAGGAAAAATAGGTGGAATTTTGTGGAATTGGAATTTTGGAACGGTAATAAATAAAATTTAAATTACCTACTAAATCAATTTCACAAGACTTAAAATATTTGCTATTTTTTGACGAAAATTTCGTATTATTCGCATTATTTACACATATGGATTGATGAAATGTTACGACTTTATTTTCTACCGAACGGTAACAATTATTGGTTACGAAATTTAAATTAGTAAGTTTCCCAAAATTTGAAATTTGTTTCTACTTTTCGTTTCGCCAAAAATTGTGTATTATTTGCATCATTTATGAATGGTCTTTGCCCGTGTGCAGAGAAGGTCAGCAGACTGTTTGCTGGAAGATTTTATTATGATGGATTGGATTTTGCAACAAGTGCTAAATAAATAATGTGTGCAAATTTGTTAGGAGGCGAAATAACTATAATTTAATGGGACGAAATAAATGTAGAGTTGAAGACCTCCACACAAACTAAAAGCTTGAAAAGTTACGTGCTGCAGCTTTGTAAGTAAGTTAAAAAATGCGTTAAAGATTAAGATTTCATTGATGATAGCGGAAATGCAATCTACAAATTTTGGCATGTACGACGGCAGGTTTTTTATCGACTACTTTTGTTTGGCGTACTTTTAGCCTTCTATATGTGCAATTGTAACCCTGTGATCTTATATTTTTTGTTACATCAGGTAAATATTTGATGATGATGCGAAATTATTATCATAATTAATCTAGTTTGGCATTAAGACAATTAGTAATGAGACTAATTAAGTAATTACTTCCGGTTTGGCATACATATTGCTCATTCAGTTAATTCTGGTACACGTACACGTGTTGCAAACCAGAGAAATCAAGCCAGAGCTTTATCATGCAAATTTCCAGTCCAGCTGTCATAAATAAATTCATTAAAATGACATCATCAATTTTTTCTGAGTGAGTAATTTCAATAGATTTTTCAAAAAACCCAAATTTTCTAAGTAAATTCAGAGGGCGAATTAATTTAATGCTCCAGACTAAAAGAAAATTGGATCAAAGTGATGCTTTTTTATCTGAAATGAGGTGCAGCGCAGCGCAAAAAGAGACAGATGACAATCAATTATTTAACTCACATGATCCCATTTGATGACGTAAATTGTACATGTTTTCCTGGTGCTTTTGTACTGTATTTAACTGCTGCACTGCACTAAATTTCTCATTTACCGGAGTGTGTGTGAAGCTACTAGCTAAATCAACACTTAAATATTACTTGCTGCTGATTGACTTGACGAGTAAATTGGTGATAAAAACATGTGAGTGACGCAAGTTTTCATACGATAGGAAAGTGCAATACTGCAATTCGAGTACACATCTGCAGAGCTGGATGCATGTATAAATATCAAATATTTAACTTAATGTGGCTGGCCTGCATATTTGTTGGAATTGTTACTTTCTTGTTGTGAGGAGGGTGAAATTGGTTCATGTTTCATAATAACTAATAATAAATAAATTAGGGTGGTGCATAAAGAATGTTCGGCTAATTTTTGAGGAGTTCTGTCCTCCTATTTGTTAAATCATAGGGTCAAAACAAGTCAAAATTAGTATGGATGGACCACATGCTATTTAGGTACGTACTAAACCAAAAATAAGAAATATGAACCCGCAAGCAACAAATGAGTCATCAACCAGACCTGACTCCAGAGAAGAACAAGTCCATTAAAAAAATTAAGGAAAGTTCTAACTAGAGGTGAGCTGGATCGTCATTTTTTGAGATCCAATCCGTCCAAATCCATTTCACCCAAAAAATTTCGGATCCAATCCATCCAAATCCATTTGGCCCAAAAAAATTCAGATCCAATCCATCCAAATCCATTTGACCCAAAAAATTTCAGATCCAATCCATCCAAATCCATTTGGCCCAAAAAATTTCAGATCCAATCCATCCAAATCCATTTGGCCCAAAAAATATCAGATCCAATTCATCCAAATCCAGTTGGATCGGATCAGGGCATGGATTATCCAAAAAAATGGATATCCAGCTCACCTCTAGTTCTAACATAACTATTTTGCAAAAAAATGTATAGCATAACAACATGATGATGAGAACTAACTATATTTCGCACTTAATTTAATGATGGTGGGGATGAATCAGAATTTAACAAGAATTAGGTACATGAAATCATCATATGGCGCAATACTAGTTTTACAGCGTCAGGCAAATTTCCAAAATCTTAACCGCATCACGTAGTAAGAAAAAAGTGTAATGTAAATAATCTACGCAAAAATCGGGTATGGCGCAGGAAAATTTTTTTACTTAATTTAATCTGAATTGGGAAAAATGAGTAATTAAGTGCTCAAAAATTATACAATGGGAAAACCTTAATCCGAATATTTTTGTGTAGGTAATGCCCGATTTATGTTTAGTTTTTTCCTGAAATTTCCACCTACGAGAAAGTCCCTCTCTTTCTTTACCCGTCATTCATTTCATGTCATACCACATGGTCATATTTTTAGTCTGCTTATAAGTACCTACCTACCTCTAATTTCTTATTAGGGTGGAAAAGGGGCCGGGCGTAAAGGATGCGGGTTCTAGGGGTCAGATTCTGATGACCTCAAGATAAGGTGATTGATTGGCATCTTAAACTTGACATTATAACAAATAATGCCAGTTGAGAACTATGCAAAACGAAGCCACGTCCTTTACGCCCGACCCATTCATGCCAGTTCGGTAGTCCGAATCGATGACAGGAAATGGCAAGAGTCACGGCATGGCGAATTATTATTGCACTAAATAGAAAAGTCCAATCCCCCCTCAGTAAAATAATTTCCCTTTAATGTGCTTTCTTCTATGTATGTATGTATCTCGTTGGTCAACAAAGGGCCTCTAAAAACTATGTATAATATACGTCCAATCAATCTAATTCATGTTGTGACAATAATTAATGACGATGCCATTGACTACCTCGCGCTTTGAAGTTGGACAATATAATTGTGTGTTTGTTTTGTTTAGTTTAGCTGTTGCTTGGTTGGAGGGACGGACTGAGGAGTATCAAGGTTAGGGCAGAATTCGGAATCGGAGTAGTCGTCGTCGTCGTCGTACTTGTGTCAATAAATTATGCGGAATGCGACAGCAATAATGACAAGCTGGTTGGAAGTAGGTAGGATTTTGTTATCAGCTCGTCATGCAATAAATGCGACGACATTACTTACTACGAAAAACACTCAGGAGAAGTGACATTTTACAAGTGTTGTCTGACTGTCAAGTGGTGGACTGGACGACGAGTGACGAGGACAACGTGTGACGACAAGAAATAAAATTGACACGTTTATCAGAAAGTTGACTTTGGAACATTTGTCCGTGCAAATAATTATGATGAGTGAGGGGACTTACTTTTACAAAATGTGATCCGATATTTAATGCTGGGAGATGAGGACGAGTAGTAAACTTGCAATTTTTAAGGTCATTTAAATGATACACGAAGAGTTGATTCTCAGCTGAAGAATGAAGAACAGAAGAACACTGTTGCTAAATTAAACAATGAGTGATTATAAAGACAATTCGTGAATGACACTGACAACTGGGGACGACGGCGAGGATAATGACGACGAACAATCACTGAAGGATTAATTGTCAAATATTTTAATGGTTGAACTTCTTTGGAATAAATTCTCTTTGAAATTTGAAACTTGTAAATTCTTTCAAAATTCTTGAACCTGTAAACAAACAAAAAATAAAACCGAATTAATAGCTGTTTGATAATCTCTTAGAAATTGCATTGTAAGCAAGAATTTAGCGAAGTTATTTGATTATTGCCCAATTTTAATTTCACTACGAAATTTCCTAACTTCAACGCCAATTTGAAAACCAAGTAGAGCAACTTATATTTTGCATTATAATTCGCGAATCATAAAAACTTTTCAAATTCCTCACCTTTCCCCCAAACACACACCCAACAAGAAGAAACTTCAAATTTCTTTACGACACTGCTGATCGCTTACTTTACTTCCTTACGAAACAGAGTACCTTATCTTGTACCGTTTTTGCAGTTTTTTCCTCCGTCCACAAGAAGTGAGGAGTTGGCAAAAAGTGAAGGAAGTTCTTAGTTGGTTGGCCGAATAAGAATGAATGACGAACCAAATTTTAGTCGTGAAATAGAAATGTTGATGTTGATGATGATGCAGCTGAGAATATAGCTGAGAGTCTCAGCTATATTCTCAGCCTGAGAACCTGTACGACATCTGCGAAACGTCGCCTTCCGGAAGTCACGATAGACGGCGCACACCCGATTTTCGGGGAGAAGCATGCACCGATTTTTTATATACTTGGTGGGTGCGGATGATTTTTTTATGTATGCAGGATAAATAAAATTTTGAAATTGAAAAACTTGGAAAGTTTGACATGTTTATATGCCTTTTGAAATTTTGAGTTTTGGGCATAACGTCATTTTGTACGATCTCACTGGTCGGCTCCATTCCTAAATCTCATCCAACAGCAAATCGAACACTGCCCGAGAGCCGATTTTGCGAAAAAGTTGCAATTTTTCTGTTTGGAAATTTAAAAAAGAAAAATGGCAGCAAAACGGATCGCTTCGAGCTCCATTAACTGGGCGGCGATAGCGGAAAAGGTTCCAGAGAATCAGAGAGTTTTCTTCAATGCGTTGAAAGGGAGGAGCGATGGGTATTTGCGAAGGTAAGGAAGATAATTAGTAATTTTAATAATGCAGACTAATTGTTATACTAAACCACAGCCGACTAATTAACTAATTAATTTAACTTCTTGTCCTTTCTATAGAGTGCTGTCCAACCCAGAATCTGCACCGAAAATCGACTGGGCGGCGTACAAGGCGAAAGTGTCGCCCGCACTGGTAGATTCGTTCCAGAAACAGTACGATGCTTTTAAGGTGCCATACCCCTCGGATAAGTACAGCGCCGAGATTGCGACACAAGAACAGCAAGCGGTACGATATTAAGATTAATAATAATAGATAAGTCCAATAATGCATGATGAGCATGTTTTTCGTCTATTTCGCCCGACGCCCAGTTTTTCGCAATTATGTATTATGAATTTCGCCAAATTTTTGCTTCTTAAAAGTGCATCTACTTTAACTAATTGTCTCCTATTTCATTTCAGGCGAAAGAAATCCAGGCCTTCATTGCTGGTTCCAACGAGCGAATTAAAGTTAATCAGGCCGGAATTGCAAAGTGGGACGATGTCCTTCCCTTCGAAGAGATGACGTTGGAAGACTTCAAGGACGCTTTCCCCGAACACTCGCTCGACTTTATTAACAAGCCGACCTTCTGGCCCCACACGCCTGAGGAACAACCCGGCTACAAGCCACCAAAAGATCAAGTGGCCGCCCATTAGAAAAAATAAATTCGCCACGTTATGTCGTCGCCATCATCAATAAACAACACAGAACGAGCAGTAGTCTCCAATCTTCCTCTTCAGTCATCTTGAATCACGTAGTAGATAAATAAATATACCCAAATTATTGATGATTTAAAAGTCAACACCAATTACCTGTTCATCATCGCTCTGTTTAATTGAATAAAAATAAATAGGTACCACAGTATGTAAATTAATTCTGCAAATTGTATCATTATTTTATTCGCAAATTAATTCTCACTTTTTTCGTAGATTTAACAATTTCGTGAACACAAACGAGTGGTATTACACAATAAATAATAAATAAATAGATAAATAAATAACGATAATTTAACTAAATACTAAATAAGTTCCGATATTAAATGCTGGGATCCCATTTAACGGCCTGTTTTACGTCCCAGCGAGTTTTATAGACTAATTAATTAACCTAATTCTAATTAATCCTCATTGAGTTGGACCACTTTTCGGTGGATGAGGTCTTTGTGAGCGGTGTAGAAGGATTCGAATGCCGGGCGGATGGCGTCATTAGCGGAGACAGAGGACAAACCGTGGATAACAAATTGAGTCAGTCCCATTAATTGCATGGAATCGTTGTGGATAATGTCGCGGTCGAGGGTGCACCCGTCGCAGGTCTTGATCGAGTCGATGTCTTGGCGCAACTTGGTCAATACCGTGGTCAACGAGGTAATTAGGTTTCGCGAGAGTCGGACAGAGTGACGATGAGCCAATTCGCGAGACATTTTCAGGCTGAAAAATAATAAATTCGGGCTTCAAATAGTTGAAAAAAGTGTTGTGCAAAATTCAGAGGTACTGAAAAAGTTGCATTTTTACAAAGTTTATACAGATTTATGTAAATTTTTACTTGAGAAGTGACATGTCCAGCAGATACTTGACCGAGCGAGAGATCCGAGCACCATCCGAGGTCAGGACGGAAGCCTCGTTGACTCCAATCTTCACCGCGTCAGCGTACGTCAAGGTAAACACGGTCAGTTCAAAAGCGGACGACAGTTTTTCCGTCTCCTTCTGCGTCAGTTTTGGCAGCTTGCTAAAAATATTTATAAATTGATTGATAAGGCCAAAGGTAAGCGTACCGCCTGAATCATAAACGTACAGAAACTTGCAACTCTCTGGAACCACGATGAGTTTATTTTTGACTTGAAGATAACCCTCGCGTATCAAAGTTTTGACGTATTTCCTCCTCTCGGAGAGACAATAAGTGCGGAGGAGGCCCATGTAAAAATCTATTATTTCATCCTCACGAACAAGTCCGGCTAACGTATTCGGTCCAAGATTACTCCGATGAGGACAGTTGCCCATGCCGTAAAATATTTCATCGTCGTATTTTAGCGTCACGTTGGGGACGATGATTTCAAACTGCGTCTTCCATCCGGGATGGTCGTAAATGTCGACGGACGAGTCGGGCACAAAGTTGGCGTCCTTGTCTGACATAGAAAATAAGCGGTTAGAAATAATTGACCTTGATATATGCATAAAAGGTCATTTTATCACCTTCGCCCAACACCTTGCCCTTTGACCCAGCAAAGGCCTTTGAAATGTAGCCGGACTGACCGAGAACTTCTGGTCGGAAGATGTAAGATTTGGCATGTTTTCCTGCTATGAGACTCCCTTGGATGCCTCCATTTCCAGCGGGGGCACTTTCTCCAATCGTTTCGTCCAGAACTAGAAAATAAGAAGATTCGATAAGCAGAAAAATGTTTGATATTCATAATTTTACGTAACGATTTACATGCCATCATTTAATTAAGAACAAAATCTCACCAAATTTTCCCACCAAAATGAAATCTTTCCCGACTGGAAGTACACTTTCGAGATCGTTACCCTGCGACCAAAACATTTCTGACGATGTGGTCACCACCCTCGGGAAAAAGAGACCTCTCGATGACCCCGACGACCCCGAAGCTGTATAATAAAACGTTCCCTTTGTTCCCGGAAAGTCTGCGAGGAAGACGTCGCTTGGCGAAATTTTGTAATACGTTCCATGAACACCGTCATTTTGTGGCGAGTCATCACTTGAACCACCAATCATCATGGTGACGGCTGGTTCGCCGAGGTTAGGATCAGCATCCTCCCCGACGCGGAGATGTCCATGAACGCCTGGGATTAGCAACGTGATCACGATATCGGATCCCACGAGGGAAACGGTAACTTGAATAGCGCCGTGTTCTCCAGACCCGCCCGACGGGACAAAAACGCCACTCGCGGTGGGAGACGCTTTTAAGGCGTCGACGAGTTCTGGCGAATGTGGCGATTTTATGGAGGCAGTGTTCAAGTCTGCTCCGTTAAGGAATTTTCCCGTGGCTTGTTTTAACGTGGATGTTGCAGTGGTGAGATGAAATGTTCCGAAAGTTCCTGAAAAAACAAACTTATTTAAACCTGGAAATTTTGGAATGCATTTTTTTCTCCTACCAGAACTCGCCACGAAAATATTACACCCAGTCGTGCTCGTATACGCGACTCCGTCCACTTGTCCGGCCGCTGTTGACTTGACCTCGTCTGGTCCCGCAGGAATAAATTGACCAGCCTCTTCAGATTGTTGAGGTGGACCCCTCGGACGACCCATGGAACGACCAATTTGTGGTGGTTGTTGTTGGAATTGAGCCTGAACTTGTGCAATCATATCTGGTGTTAAGTGTTTGCTGACTTCTTCCTGTGTCATTGGACGACCTCCGAGAGCGATAAGCTGCTTTTGAAGGTCTTCCGGCATCGCGACAAGTCCAACCGAGGATGGCCCCGGCATTGACCGACCAATGGATGGGAGATGTTCTCCTCCCGGTTGCTGCTCACTAGCGGATTGGACGAGTGTGCGCGATTCTTCCGTGGAGTCGTGTGACGACGAAGACTTGTGCGAGATCTTGCTCGTCACTCCTCCTAAAATTGGGGTATGGCATTACTCCAAAATTTGGGGGATCAGCGCGGTTCGTGGCATCATACCTTCTGCAGGTGGCACGCCAAAACCAGGGGGGTCAGGTACCATGACATATCCGGGTGGAATCATGCCCCCTCCAGGCATCATTCCTGGCCCGGGAGGCATACCGAACCCAGGAGGACCCATCATCCCGGGGGGCATCATCCCGGGAGGCATCATTCCCTGCCCGGGAGGCATACCGAACCCAGGAGGCATCATTCCTCCTTGCCCGGGTGGCATCATGCCCTGTCCGGGCGGCATACCGAACCCGGGAGGCATTTGGCCTTGTCCCGGAGGGTCAGGTACCATGACATATCCAGGGGGAATCATTCCCGGTCCAGGAGGCATCATGCCTTGTCCAGGCGACATACCATATCCTGCCGGTTATCATTACGTACAATTTCATTAACATACCTTGGCCTCCAAATTGTGGCATCATCTGCGGCATCATAATTTGTGGCATCATACCACCCATTCCAAAGCTGGGCATCATCCCTCCCCCGGGTCCGGGCATCATGGCGCCGTACATCCCTTGTGGGGGCATCATCATCATGGGACCACCACCGTAAGGACCCATCATTCCCCCGTAAGGTCCAGGTGGACCCATCATACCGCCCGGAACTAGAAATAGGATTAGTAAACACATTCTTAGTAATTTTAAATAAATTGAACCTCACATCCGCCCATTTGCTGCATGGCGGCCATCTGATTTTGCGCGACTTGCATCCCCATCGACATTGGGGGTGGGGATGATGAAGTGATGATTTGTTCCGTTTCCTCCTTGGTTTCTTCGTGAGTTTCCGTCTTTGTCTCGGTTGTCTTTTCGAATAACACTTGCTGAGCACCGGGGCCTCCTTGATGTTGCAAAAAGCCACCAAAATCTGGAAAAAGCAGGAAGGAGAAGAAATTAAAAATACTTTTGCATAAAAACTATGTAAGACTGGAGAATAATTTAATTATTTTGGGAAGAAAATTTCGCAAATTATAATTTCTGAAAATGTAATATTGTCTTTGTATGTAAGCTACCTTGATTCAGAGCGTCGCATGCCGGCATATTTTCCGACGTGACACGAGAGGGGTCAACTTTTCCCATTGAACGACCCGATATTGGGGCAAGGGAGGGGTCTTGGACAGGTTTGTTGGGTCGGCCAAAAGAGCGTCCGATCGATATAGGACTGGGTTGGCCAAAGCTGCGACCTGCAGGTCAATTAAGCAATAACGTGAAATTTAAAAAAAATCGGGCCACCTTAATTATTGCATGTGCACCTTTTAATAAATTTCTCCCTGGTTGGACGGGATTTGACACAGTTTCGTGCGCCTTGGTGTCTTGTACGTTTTGAATTAAGCCGAAACAGTAGACAAAAAATCCGGGGACGGATCGTTTTCCGGGCTGAAGGTCAAGGGTCATAAATAAACTAAGAAATTTTGAAATACATTTCTAAACGAAAGCTTACTGTGAGATTTCCCTTTCGTCCGGGCAGATTGAACGTCATTTGAAAGTCGCCGGCGAAATGGATACTTCCAGAAATTCCTACAATTTTGAAAAGTATAAAGTATCGAAATTTTTACAAAATAAGCGAAGGCGTGTATACCGTTGTTGGGAACGATTCCCGTCGATACGGGAGACTCATCCTGCTCGAAACTACCCATCACCGTACCGCCGGACGTAGAGGCGATACCCTGCAGAATTATGGGGTCGTCTAAAGAAAATTTTGTGTAAATTTAAGAAAATGTCGTGCAAGTTTTTACGCAGTTTTTCCACTCACCTGGTGTAAAAGCTCCTTGTTCGACGGGGCCTTCTGGGTTGGGTTTTAAATATCCGTGAATTACAGTTTGTGAATTGGCCACTTGGAATTTGCCCATTGTTCCCTCTGCAAAAATACAATAAAAATCATATGTTTCGAAAAAAAGTTGCAAAGTTTTGTGTAAATACAAAATTTTGGAAAATGACTCCGTAAATTACCAATGGGGATAAAAACGTCCCACTTTTGCGGATTGGCAGACCCTTGGAAATTGAAGGCTCGCATGGCCGCCTAAAACACAACTTCTTATAGAAATTCTAAATATTTTCAGAAGTTTAGAAAGATTAGAAATTCCTCCAAAAAAACCTGTGGTTTGTTATAGTCCTCTTCCCTCTTTTTAATCCACGCCATGTCGAACGGCATAAGTTGAGCTTTTTCGTTAAACATGAAGCAGCCCGATTTCGTTTCCGATTTCCAAGTTCCCTCCTAATATTTAGAATGAAAATTTCCAAAAATTTTAGTAAAATTCTTTAGATTTTCTTTCTATGCACCTGTGGGAGAGAGCCTGGGCGGAAAATATATTCTGCTGGGTTGTTCGGATTCGGACTTATGTTTCCAGGAACTCCAGTAACTGTAGAACCCGCAGGATAAAAGACGCCGTGGGAATCAGGAGGAATTTGGGATGGAGGGAGACAACCTAAATTTTATTATTCGAAACAAATGCACAATTAAAAATATTGTACGTTCAAAATTTGTGAAAAATCGAATATTAGAAATTCCTCAAAGTGCACCTTGTTTTGCCGCAGAACTATCCGGCGTCAGAATGGCATCCCCATCGCCAGACTGTTTAGGGACAAAGGTGCAGCAAAGGGCTTTCATGTTCGGATCGCCGGGCGGGACACCGTTGATGACCTAATTTTTTTTTACATAAGTATGAGAAATAAATGACTAGAACCTTGACACACGAACATTTTGTGTTAATTATACATACAAAAATTCCCGTGGTTCCGGTGTAGGTGATGAAAATCTTGGTGGTGATGGTGGACTAGAAATATATAATAATAATAAATAAAGCATCATCAATGCCTGAATCAACTAACAACCTAATTGCTAAATATAATATGCATAATTACTTACTTTGAAATACGATCCGCGAATGCTGACTGTGGTAGTTTGCGAAATTTGGATTTGCGACGGAAGTTGTTCTCCTTGTGGGACGAGGGACACTTCGTATTCTAAGATAAGGAAATAGTAAGTATTTAAATATGCACACGGTTAAATTTTGCAAATTAGAAGTACAAATTTTTACCGGGAATGCCGTTCTTGTCGTCAGGATTGAACATCATTGGCATGTTGGGAAAGGGTGCTGCTTTTAAGACGCCGTGAACTTGGTGCTGATTCGGCCCGGTGGGACACTGAAAATAATTAAAGAAAGTTGCAAATTATTTCAATAGTGAAAATTTTGCGAATTTGTTACCATTTGTCCCGGCGCTGGAAGTTGTGCCGTGACAGGTGGATGTTTTGGCTTGAAAGTTCCTGAAAATAAATACATTTAAAAATATTTTTAGTAATTGCATACAGTGTTTCACAGACCTGGCGTATTTGCTTGCGCTCCTGGCGTGTATTCTCCTTCGATTGGGTTCCCATCGCTGATATCGGGATAAAACATGGCAGGAATTCCGGTTTTTGCGTCAGGCACAAACCTAAGGACACAAGGTCACCGCCTTCAACATTCAATGTCACTTTTTCCGCCTGAAGTTTTAGAAATACTAATTACGGATGCAATCCGGGCGCCACTGGGGGTTTAAGGGTTCCTACTTCCGGCGGAGAATTCGGTGGATTGTCTCTTTTCTAGTAAAAAGAAAATCAATATAATTTGACCTCATGACCTCTCTTTGACCTGTCACGTTTATTTACCATTTGACCATGTTCATCCCGAGTTGGTCCATCTCTTGGATTGGTGGGTTTGAAGGCCGACGACGCTTCAGGGCCTGAGCCTGGAGGAGGCGGAATGTATAACCCTCGAATTGGATGGGTGGGTTTAGAATCTTCGTAAAACCAAGCAGGCGTTGACCCTTCGGGGTCAGTAGTCCAAGTGTACGGTGCCCCAGGAGAGGTAGGTGGGGATAGTGTCCCAGATTCGGGAGGAGAACCTGGTGGAACTTTGGGAACCTAAGAATAATTAGAAGTAAAAGTTCATATCAAGATTATACCAACTTGCGCCAATGTTATAGCTTAACTATGGCGCAAGGTAGGAAATAATGTGGCCAAAATGTAATTAATTACAATTTGTCCATGGTCTTCCCCAGACGGGTTGAGTTTGCTGGCGTCTCCTGGTCGAAATGTTTGTGGGTCGGAGGGAGTTGGTCCGGGAGAAAGGACCCCCTCGACCGGAGCGTAAGGGGAGCGATCAGGGAAAAAACTGGCTGCAATTTTATCAAATTGTAGTGTCTGGAAAATTTTGAAAATATGTAAATTCACTCATACCCGGCTTCGATCCAGGCGGATCTGGATAGAATCTGGAGAAAATTAAAGACGTAAAATATGCAATCTTAACCCGAGCCAGAATGTAAAAAATCAATTTTGAACATACTTTGGCTTCTGCCCAGGACCCTTAGCAGGGTCCATGTGTCCATGGGTGTCCGTAAAACCCGGCGATTTCAAAATTCCTGCCGTATCGATTGGAATAGCTTGCGAAAATTGGGCTGGGATCGAGGGGTCGAATGGAATTGGGAGTGAGCCCGTAGGGTCGTTGGGAGGTCGGTCTGCCGTTCCAGAGACGGGATTAAAGGGATCGGAGTCCTTGTAGAAGAGGGCTGTATGCAAAAATAAAATTTGCAAATTATTGGCACGCAAAATGTGCATAATAATTTATTATCGAAATATATTACTCACAAGCTGGCTGTTCTTGAAACATGTACGGTTCTCCAGGTCCTGTTGGGGGTTGCTTAATAATAAAATTATGCAAATTAGGAATTGTTTTTTGCGTAATTTTGAGACTTAAATTATTATGCAAATTACCAGCGTCCCCGTCTTTGAGGGCTGTCCGGGTTGATTCATATTTCCCTTGAACGGTCCCCCTGGCGGCATTTGGGCCTGATTTTGAGGAAAGAAAGGAAATGGAGCGCCCGGTGTGGATGGTGGGCTGGATGACCCGGGTATTTGAGTGGATGGATTTATCGCAGGGATAAAAGTGGCTGCAAAAAAGTTAAGGAGTTATCATTAACAATAAATTTGCAACAATTTTAGCTTTTAGCGTACTGTCAGGTCGGTCAGGTTTAAAGGTCCAGGATGGTTGAGCGGTCCGTTGTGGGTTGGGTTCCATTGTTCCTAAATCAATCAGATTTTTAATTAATTAATTAATTAAAAATACACTGATATATTTAGATACAGAATATTTAGATTACCTCGCTTATCCGGATTGCCTGGAAAGACCAAGAGCCCTTTTGGCGTTCCAGGTGGCATTGAGGACGGAGTTGTGGGATAGAATGGAACAGATTCTTCTGGGGTTTTGGGCAAGGGACACGTCCCAGGAACAGGAGGATAAGCCTTATCGTCAGGGTGGAACGTCGCGGCAGAGTCGGGCGTCTGAAAAAATCTAATTAATAACTAAAGATAGGATAAGTGGTTATCTTCTTTTACCCAGTTCAAAGGTCCCCCAGGCATTCCTGGAGACAGTGACCCAGTCATAGGCGGCGATCCTGGTGGATTTGTCGGCTGGATAGAACCTCTCGCCGGCATGGGTGGAAGTCCGGCAGGATTGGAAGGCTTGAAAGAGGGCGGATTATCTGAAACGAAACCGTAGAAAATTTAAGATAAGTCGGATTTTAGATAAGCATGATTCCTACCGCTATACGTTCCAGGGACAGGAGCCCCTGGGTTATTTTCCGGTAAGAAATTCGCCTACATAATTTAATTAATTTCAGTACCATTAAAGTTTGTGTACCAAATTGTAAGTTAATTAATTATGTAATTACCGGTTTACTGCAGGGTGGGTCCGGACTGAAAGTATATGGACCTTTCAAATAAATAGCAACATTTCAATAGTCTGTTCAAATTTTGGCGTTAGTTTATGAAATTAATTATAATTACCTCCGGGTAAGTTTGGGGGTACAACGGAACCGTGTTGATCCGCTTTTCCGGGCGCTTTTAGGGTCCCACCGCCCGGTGGGATAGGATTTCCGGGAACTGTGGGTCGGATTTTGATCGGATCTGTCGGATTTGGACCTGACGGTTGGATCGAGGTGGAGATAACGTTGGCCGGGTTGGAATCCTAAATCGATAATAATTATGCCGATATAATTATATATTTTTGTACGGGTAGTTGATGGTTCTTGTATTATTTTACCGGGTAGAATGACCCCTGCGGGTCAGGTGTGAAGGGTCGAGGTCCGCTCGGTGGTGAAGGGGAGGGTTGTAAAGTCCCATGTTGTTCGGGCTGGGCTGGACCGGTCGATAAAGTGCCCGGAGTCGGACCAGGATTCAAACTGGATGGATTTGTCGGGTAGAATTCTAATTTTAAATAATATTGGAATTTTAAACTCGGATAATTTTGAAACCCGGCTTTCAATTTGCTCCTAAATTATTTCAAAAGAGTTTTTCAAGGATTTTTTTAAAATTTACGACGGAAAGTTTAATACACGCTTAGGGAAGATACTGAGAGATCTCTTATATTCAAAAATTTAATATTACTATTTAGAAAATATTTTGGCGTTCTTGGTAAACATTTCATAAATATTTTCAACTTTTTTACGAGTATTAAATACACATTTGTATAACTCTGTAAATTTTATGTCGTCAACTTACTCGGATTTTCTCCAGGTACCGCGGGCGGTTCGACCCCACCAGGGGCGGGTACTCGAGTGTCGTCCGGTGTGAAGGTACCTGTTCAACAGAAAATTAAAAAAAAAGATTTAAATTTCATTTTCGCTTATTCAATTTATTTTTGCATGCCTTCATTGAACGGCAAAAATGAGTAGGCTGGTGGCGGGTAGTCGGGTCGTAGTAAGCCATTGATTGGTCGAAATGCGGGGTCCGATGGGGCCGAGAGCGTCCCTGGCGTGGGAACTTGTGTCAATTGAGCGGGGTCGGATGGGTAAAATTTTACCGGTGAAGGAGGTCCACCCGGGTAAGGTGGGGTTTTAGGGTCTTCTTTGAATCCAGGGACGGGTGGTGATCCGGGGGGCGTAGAAGGCGTGAAGATCGCTAAAAAACACATTGAAGTTATGATGCAATTTTAAAAAATTTGACAGAAACGTATCGACATGCATCGACATAATTTCGATTGAGGGAAAGTCGTCGAATTCTAATTCATGCACGTCGTCACCTGGTTTATCTGCAAGAAATTGATTGAATTAAAATTTAAGATTAATTTAAGATTAAACCAATTAAAAAATATGTCAAAATGCGATCTTTAACTGCTGAATTAATTAATCGTACCCGGTGTGAAGAGGACCGGAGAAAATGCGTCTGGTGGATTTTTGATTGTGCCATGTTGTTCAGGCGGATTAACACCAGGCATGCGTAGTTTTCCCTTATTCTCTCCTGGGGGAACGGTGCTCTTATCGTCCGGCTTGAACGCGATAGGATCCGATGGATTGTACGGCAGGACGGCGGAACCGGAAGAGGGATTCATTGGGTTTTGATCAGGGACGAGCTCACCTGAATATTTTATTTAATTATGCAAATGTGGGGAAAACTCAGTGAATTTAACGCTTACAAGGTTTCGAGTTAATCGGATCTGGAACAAAGAGTGGCGTAGCTCCCGGTCCTGCGGGTGCCTTTAAGATTCCCGGCGTATCTAAATATTTATTTGTGTAAATTCTTCAAAATTTTGGAATTTCTTCTCAAGCTTATTACCCGGTGAGCCGTGTCTTCGTAAATTGCCTCTCTGTGGCGCAACCCCTGGTGGGACTTGGAGTGGATTGTCCTAATAAGAAAAAAAGACGATAAGAGCAGATTATTGAAATTTTGAAAATTTTGAAAAATTACTGGATAGAAGGGAACTTCTTGTCGTGGATCGCCATTCGGAATAGGACCCGGTGGTGTAGAGCCTTCTACGGTGGATGGATTTTTATCCGGAACGAATGATGCTGTTAAATAAACAAAAAGACATGAATTTCAAATATTTTTCAATGATATTTTTAAAATTGTGGAGATAAATTTTTGTCGTCGTACTTGGTGAGAATGGGGTGAATGGACAGGGTGCGCCTTCGTACGGGGGAGGATGAAGAACGCCTAGAGAAGAAACAAGGATAAGGAATTTAAATAATGTGATAAGAATGAAAGTAATTAGTAATTAGTAATTAGTAAGTAATGTGCCAATGATATAGGTAGTTTAACTATGGCATAAGTTACAAAAGCCCGGATAAACGCAGGGTCAGAATTTTACAAGAAAATTAACCTCGATCTGGTGGCTGTCCAGGGAGAGAAAGTGTACCTAAAAAGAGGTAACGAAAAATAAATAAATGTTTTACAATCTTCTCATGTTTTTAGTACAAATAATTACGGAATTTACCAGGTGTGTCTGCTTTTGGAGCGTCGGCGGGATTATCTAGTTTGGAAATATCGTTGTAAAAATTTGCAAAAGAAATATATAAAAATTTCCAACTTAATTAATTAATAATTTCTCACCCGGTGTGAATTTGGTAGGTTCCCCTTCACGTGGTGGGGACGGGGGACCAATAAAACCCGGTTTTGGCTGTGATCCAGGCGGGTTACTTGGAGTGAAAGAACCTGTGGAACGTTTCATAAGAACAATTTTTAGAGATTTATTTAATTATCTTTTATGCAATTTAGAACAATTTAGAACCTGGAGAAGTTTCGGCAGGATCTGGAACCTACAAAATAAAAATAAATTCATTTTATTGAGTCTTCACTAGGGATGTGCCGTCATGACATGTCATTGACAAATTGACATATTGACATGTCATATATGTCCAATTTGTCAGACATTTAAAATTTGTGACAAATATGACAAATATGACACATATGACAAATTCAAAATGTCGTAAATGTCCAATTTGTCCGACATTTAAATCTTGGACAAATTGAATTTATCAAATGAACATTTGTCAGCGCAATCGACATTTATTTTCAGCAAAATATACTAATTTCATTTTGTTGCTCGACTCCAGCAATGTGAGATTCTTATACTGGCCTGGAGCATTTAATTTGACTTTGTTTACACAAAATTCCCAAATCAAAATTGAAATGCTGAGGAGAAGAGACCCTCTAAAATCTCGATGCCATCTGCATATGTGGTAGCCCAAGGCAAATGTATGATAACCCGAAAGTGGATTGATGCCACTGCCACGCCCACATTTTCTCCCGCCACACCCCGTCAAAAAGTGGTGAAAACTACAGGAGTTACCAACTACAAATATCCAACAAAAATCCAATTTTGCTCGGATGTTGATAAAATTTACATTTTTGTGATCCCAGATACTTGTGTGATCATATCCAGTGTATGTCAACTTTTTCAAAATTTGGAATTTTTCAAATAATTCCGTGGAATGCCCCAAAATTTCGATAATTTCAAAAAAGTTGAGATATCTCCTGCATTGGATCACACAGGTATCTAAAATAAAAAAAATATACGTTTTTTTAACATCCCAGCAAAATTGGATTCTTGGTGGGTATTTTAAGCTAGCGACTTCTGTAGCTTTTATCACTTTGAGGGAGTGTGGCGGACGCAAATAATGTGACCATCCTAGATTAGGAGCATCAAATATACAAAGGGCATCAAGATCTAAGAGGGGCATGTAGAGAGTCTCTCCTATTGAGTCCACATAAGGAACTTTTAGATTCAAACATTTGGCTGCTGATGTAAACAGTTACTTATATCCAGCATGATAAAATGGTAATTGGTAAAGTTGGTAACAATTGATAAGTAGTATCATAGGCAAATTAATTAAATCAATTGTTTAAGTGCACTTGGCTCGTTTACTTTTGCTGTTGTACCTTTATTTGAAGATTAGACAACTCCTGCCTTAAAACCCGCAATATCTTACTCTACAAACTCCATGGTAGGATTTTAAAATGTTTCCTAGCTTAATTAATCTAATTAAATCAATTTATATACGAACGTTTAGTTTCTTGACAATGAGGCATTCCAAAAGACTCAATTACAAATTCTATCATAAATGGGGAATATTGAGACAAAGTGTCATATTTGTCCAATTTGTCCAATTTGTCCGTCATATTTGTCATAAATGTCGGACATATTGAAATCGTGACAAATTGGACGGACAAATTGACAAATATGACATTTATGACAAATATGACAAATATGACATATATTCGCTTGACACGGACAAGCTCCATCCTTAGTCTTCACTAGAAATTATTTTGCAACTTACAAAAGTCGCTGGTCCACCGGGACTCAAGGGCGGGACAACTTTGCCATGTTGTGGTGGGAGTGATGGAATCTCAGCCGTTCCTCTGGGGAATTTCCCAGGGGGAAATGGTCCCGAAGGGTTGAACGGAATAGGCTGCCCAACAACAGGGGGAGACACTGGATTCATAGGAGATGGATTTCCTCCAGGAGGATTGTCCGGAACTGTGGATAAGACCGAATAAATTAGCACCTTAGAAGTACTGATAAGTACTTATCTTACCAAATTTTCCCCCTCCGCCACCAGGTGGACCACCAGGGCCACCACCACCAGCGCCAGGTCCCCCTCCTCCTCCTCCCGCAGGTTGGTCTGGTACTGGCGCCATGTTTGCGGGAGGACGTGGTCCGCCCTGTAAGAAAAATACAGGATAAAGTTCAAATTTATGTAGAAGGTCATAGGTCAATTTCTACGCTGATCGTAGGTGGGCCTCCGGGTCGGACAGGTGGTCCAGTTTGCGCTGGAACGCTGGCTGCTGGATTATTATCGGGGGAGAAGGGTCCCTTCATGGGGGGATTTATTCCTCCCGTGGGTTCATCGTACGGGACAAACTCGTCCGGCCCACCGGGAAAGCCGGGCGTCCAAATTCCTAATTAATTAAATGGTAATTAAAATTTAATCCACTTAAAACTAAGTTTGTCAGCTACCCATCACTGGGGGTCGACCATCGTCCGGTTTTAGAACTCCGCTTGTCCCAACACCATTCGGAATCTGGACAAATTTTATATAAGTATTTTCACAAAATGGATCCATAGAAATTATCAAAAATTTTATATTATTACGAATGGAAATGGAGCCTGAGGTTTATTAATGATCAAATTTCCTGGAATTGGGTCCTTCTTTTTGGGATTATTGACCGGCGTCTGCACAAAGAAAAAGAATATATAAATAGATCGTCACACTTAAACTGTGTCCTTCTTACCATAACTCCCGGAATGACCGCAGGTTTCGGAGGTTGTTGCTGATTGGGAAAGTAGTCGTTGATCGTTTGTGGATTTGCGGGGGTTAAAACACCATCGCTGGGTGGTCTTGAAGGGTCGGTAGGGTTAAACTTGTACAACCCACCGGCCTCGTCTGGAATGAAGAGGGGGTCAGTCCCGGTAAGTCCGGGGAAGAGAAGGCCATGCTCGGCGGGTTTGGGGGAGGGTGGATTTGGCGTCATCATTCCTTGCGGGGGTGGTTTAAGGCCTTGGACTTGTTCGTCGCGGTCTGTGATATACAAAGCAAATCGAAATTTTAGTGAACCAGAAGGTAATGGCTTAAATTTTTGTTAATTAATCAGGTTAAATGACATATGTATCTCGTAAAAATGTGAAATGTCATTTTTTTACTAGTTAAAAACTGATTTTTTATGAACTGATCAAGGTTCATTACCTGGAATAAAGACTTCTGGATTTCCAGGTGGAGCAGGGATTAAGAGACCAGAAATGGGGGACAGTTGGTGTGGATCGTCCGTAAATACGGATTTCGCTGGGTTCAAACTGTTCGGTACGAATAGAATGGGCATCTTGTTTAAGAGAAGTTGACCCGGTTTGGGCGGTTGTTGTGCAACGTTGGGAGGATCTGCGGGGGAAAATCGTTTAGAAAAATTGTGCAAAAAATATATAGAATTTTTTTCGATATCGACTAAAAATCAACCTGGGACGACATTTCCTTGCACGGGTGTGTTTTGATCGCCACGACGCAGTGGGTTCGTCATGTCCGAGTCTGGAACCCAAATGTCTGGATGTCCTGGAAATCCAGGGATGGAATAAGCATGAACGGGTGTCGATCCGGCAGAGAATTGAGAAGGGTACGCCATTCCGTCTAATAATTTTTATGAAAAAATTATAAACTCTTTTCAAAATATCAATTCCTGAATGAGAAAACCTTACCTGGAATGAAAATTCCAGACCCTGGCGCTACAGGAAGCTATATAAATGCAAAAAAATAATTGTTTCGGGTCACAAAGAATATTTCTTTCAAATAAACTCGACATTAATCTCACCATAATTCCATGAATTGGCGAACTATTTGGCGGCGCGTAGGACCCCGTAGTTCCCTTATCTTTGGGGAGTTTTCCTCCAAAAGTATTTCCATCTGTGGCCTGAAACAAGTAAGGTTTCTTCGGACCGAAAGGCACCATTGTTCCATCAACGGGAGGAATTTGGTGGTTGTCCGGGTAGAAAATCCCTATTTTTTGGAGAGTAAAAAAGGTTAACAATGTTGTACAACTCGTTTAATAGTTACAAATTTATTATACCGGAAGTTGGCGTGATCCCGTCCATAAATGGAGGCATTGGAGGCAAATTTGGCGTCCCGAGTGGCAGATAAACGGCAGGAGGGCCTATAAGAATAGAAGGTCAAGGAAAGGTCATCAATTCGATAAGGTTAATCCACTACCTGGCGGTCCCGTTGAGCCGGGAGGTCCTGGCGGCATTCCACCATTGATAGGATGCGTCGGCACGACCTTTTTAATGTAAATGGTCTTTTTCGCCTTGCCACCACCACAAGTACCGCTGAACATCCAGCCCACCATAGCACAGGCGATGTTTGCTATAAAAAAAATGTACACAATTGCAGATTTTTCAACAAAAAAATAGTAAATTTGGGTCAAAATTTCTCACCCGAGCTACCACCCAAAGTTCCAGCCGCATCGCCAACCGCGCGACCGTGAACCATGTCGATATTAAGGTCGTCAAAATAGTCGCAGTTGTCCATCTCATACTCGGAGTCATCCTTCGCGACGGCGGGTTTGGTTTTATTGACCGTGGGTGGAGGAGGTCCTGCTGATGAGCCTGGTTTTGGTGGGGCGACAACCGGGTCGGCGGATAAGCCTTGACCGTACTGCGAAAAAGCGGCCGCATTGAATCCGCAAGCCACCAGGACAGACGAGGCGCAGGATGTCCATCGGACGGCGCGCTTGATGGTGCGATCTTCCCAAATGTCCCATTCGATAAACTTTTTAGACCCGGCGACATCGATGGTGTCAGAGTCGAAAGTTGTGGCGTTTCTGGCGAAAAAAATTATGTGCAGAGTTAATTTTATTAATATTTACTTTTTGTTTTGGTGTGAAGCATTTGGGAGAAATAATATCCAAAACAGTTTTTCGAGATAAAATTTAACTTGGATAAAATATAATAATAATACTAAACTTTAAAATAATAAAATTTCAAAATTTAGTTTTTTTTAATGTGAATGGTAAATATAATCACATGACTTTTCACTTTTGTACTAAAGGCTAAAAAACCTAGTTTTAGGTTTTTATGTACATATTTTTAAAATAAATTAATCCTGGCGTTGAAATCATACAATTATTATTTCCTTTTCCACCTTTCGTGCCTATCAGTTACACATAAATAAAATACGTAATTATTACAAACTTTGGGAAATCTTGTTACATATGTAATTCATAAAATTTTTCATAATCTGTATTCATATCTGTATTTCATAATTTCATAAATAATTTTTTGTTGGATTTTCTTTGCATTTTTCTTGTTATTTACAATATTAAAATCATTCTCAATTCTGGCTACAACTTTAATTGAGTTATCAGTCCAATAAAATAGTAATTTATTCAGTGCAAATAATTGATAAATAATAATAAAGTCATACAAAACCTAAACCATGTCAAGTGCATAAAATTTTCAAAAATTACAAAGTGTACTTCACTTCTGTGTGATTTCAACGTTTGAATTTAAATATTTTAAAAGTTTGAAATATCGCTAAACGTATCACGGGTCAAAAACGGAAATGTAATTTTACTCATTAAAATCAGCAAAAAATTCTAATTTCAATTTTAGTCAATTTTATTTTGTTATATCATACTCTGTGATTTTAGTTTAATTTCAGCTAACCAGACATTCCCATTGAACATACATTCATATAGAAGATGCAGAGTAATTTTTTAATTCTCGGAGTCCAACTTTGTCGAAAATGCAGTAAATTGTACATGTTGGACGCCAAAATCGAAACAAATGTATATCTGTGATAGTTTAAGAAGCTGAAAAAACTGGTTATGGTGAAAAAGTGCAAAAACCTCGCCGTCGTCTGCTATTGGCTCTCAACGTGGCTTAAGCATCCTTATGGAGTTGAGTCTTCTAATTCCAAGTTAGGTTAATTATTCATCACTGATAAACAGCAAAATAAAATCACGAAATAAAATTACGAAATAAAATCACGAAATAAAATTACGAAATAAAATCACGAAAGCTGACGAAGTGATATAAATTAGTCGTGTAAATTTGTTTTCTGCGAATTAAATTTTTTTTCATATTTTCAAATTCGTTTTTCATTTTTCAAATTTCTAAATAACCTTGTGTTATATATTATGTATGTATTTTTTAAATAAATAAATTTTGGCGTTGAAATCACACAATATAACAAAACATAAACATAATTTACACAATTAAGGATTTTAGATTTATTCCACTTTCGTGTTTACCAGCGATAAAAAATAATCTTGGAATATGTGGTTAACTTCAGTCTAGCGAAGACTAAATTTCGAGATTTTTTAGTGATTTTAAAAATTTAAGCTGTTTACAATTTTGATTATGAAATGAATTGAGTTCATTGTAATTTGCAACCTGAACTAAATCAATATATTCGAAATTTTAAAATTATATTAATCTTAACGTTGAAATCACACAAAAGTAAACAGCACTTTTTACAGTCACCAGTATTTTGTAAATTGTATGCAATATACAGTAATGATTTAATCCATGGTTTAGTGTGACATGATTATTATTTATGAATTATTTTACACTGAATAAAGTAACTATTCGATTGACTAAAGCTCAATCAAATTCAATTACTCAATTAAAATTGTAAGTAGAATTGACAATTTTGATTTTAATTGCGAATTCAAAAATTACAAAAGAAAATGCAGCAAAAAATTGTTACAGATTTTACAAGTTAAATATGCATGAAGAGATCTCCAGAAGATAAATTTGTTGCAAAAATTGTCGAAATCCACAGATTTTTAATCATTTCTCACCTCTGGGAATTTATTTTCAAATTCTGCACGACCAATTTGCATAGCAGATCGTTCCCAATTTTGTAAAAATATACACTCCAGATTTTGACACTTTTTGAAGGAGGGGTTCTCAAGTTTAAGTTTTTTTTAGTTTCTCATCGAAGCTGGATGAAAAATGTGTTGATTTTGGTCACGAGTCACGATCGATTATGCTTTTTTACGCTTAATTTATTGTAATAGTTTCGCCCCCGATTTATGAAATTACCGGCTCACCTGACATACGCGTAGGCAGCGTAATACGTTGGCGACAAGGATTTTGGATTTTTCCTGAGGACAACGTACGTCTGTTTGTTGGCGTGGGTTTTGAGAGAGACGTGGTCCTCGGAGGGGAGCAGGACGATGACGTCTTTGTCCTTGTCGTTGGAATTGCGCTCGTAAACGACGTCACTCTCCTTCCCGTCGACTTTGTAAGGGGTGTGATAAGCGGTGAGGGAGTTGACCCTGTCGACCTTTTGGAGCAGGTAGGGATCATCCGAGAACTGGTCGAGGGGCAAGAGACGTGCGGCAGATTCGAGAATTGGCAGGGTCGCGTCGTCACTGGTGGGGGTGCCTGGAAATAAATGAATGGGTTGGATAAGAAGGGTGGATAAGCAGGGTATCTTATCTTGTTGTTTTTGGGGATAAATATTTTTTAATGTAAGTGTAGAACTTTTGAATTAATTGTAATTTAGGAAAGTTCGCAAACAAACCTTAAACTTGTATGACAAATATGAATTTATTGGAAAATTGTAATTTGGGAATTTAAGTTGGACAAATATTGTGGGAATTTAAAATTTTTCAGGGTGTGTAAAATTTCATTTTTTGTTAACATTGTAAAATCATGTTTACATGTAAAATTTTACAAAAATATTTCTTAAAAGAATTGTTACCCTACAATACATATATTTGTAAGCTTCCTGAGATCAAGGACGTTTTTTAGATTGTAAAAGTTTGTTAAATTATTTTATAACTTTCGGGTTTACAAGTTACAAATGACTGCGTGAATTGCCTCATTGTAAAATTCTAAGCAAAATTTTCCTTCAGGTTTTAATTTTCGCATGTTTTAAACTGATAAATCTACGTTTTAATTTTCGCATGTTTTAAACTGATAAATCTACGTTTTAATTTTCGCATGTTTTAAACTGATAAATCTACGTTTTAATTTTCGCATGTTTTAAACTGATAAATCTACGTTTTAATTTTAAGCTTGTCAAAATCTCTAAAATTTATATTTGTATTGGTGTTAAAGTTTGAAACGTGATTACTTTTTTACAATATCGTGCATGGACTGTACCTATACTTTAATTTTCTGATTTCTCAAAATCTTCAAAATTTATATTTGGCGTTAAACATTATTAAAGTACTGTAATTTTTTTTGATTACTTCAAGTTTTTCATACTTGAAAGTGTTCACTATTTTTCTGATTAAAATTTTAAACTTTGAAATATCCCCTAAGTCTGCAAAGTTACCAATGATTGAGTGAATTGACAACTAAATATTTTGGTAATTTTCCCTTAAACATTTTCCACATTATTGCAAATTAAGGAGTCTCACCTTCCCTCTTGTACATGTCGTGCCGCATTGGGTAATGGTATCGGTAGAAGGACATGGAATTTGACGATACTGGAATCTGGGCGAGGAGGAGGAGGGCGACCCCTAAACAAATCCAGCAAGGCACGCCAACCATTATGGCGCGTGGCGTGATTTTGCAAGCGTCCAAGAACTTAATCCTATTTCGGAAACATTTGCTTATTTCTTTCCAATCTAATTCCCAGGACGAAATTCAGGTGAAAATTTTCAAATTCAAAATCTAAACAGGAAAATCTTTAATAGACTGATTTACAATGGAGGTTTCCCAGCTTATGCTCTACGATTTTCAACAAATTATTGTCAATCGATCACAAATTTAGTTAGTATGAAATTTGCAAAAGACGCGATCATGTTTGGCAGAGATATTTACATCCGAAGAGGGAAAAACGCGCACGACGCTTCCAATTCCCCTCTTTTGATGCAAATATCTCTGCTAAACGTGCCCATTCGTGTCCTTTTAAAATTGCATATTAATTAAATTTCCGACTTATTGGCATTAATTTGCTAAAAATCGGACAGCATACGCTGGGAGACCTCCATTGTAAGATTTTTTTTTAGTTTTCAAAATGTATTCCAAAATTTTCTGAAATGCCGAAACAAAATTAGAAAGCGTATGTTTTTTGTAAAATAATAATACTTTGCCTACGAATTTCCGGAAGTAGAAGAATTATTATTACTTTGTGACTAATTACCTATTTAAAAAATTAAAAACCTGGCCTGTTCACTACGATAGGCTGCTAAAACGTATCGTTATACGTCTGGACGGATGACCTCGTTTAAAAATGGGGTGTCACTAAAACGCCAAGATGACATATACGCTCATAGGTATATTATGGAGCTCCATTGTGAATTAAGCAAATACATTGGTGTCCCTTTTCTTCGGAGAAGTGATGAATTGAGAATTATAAAAATATTTACTTTGTAAATAGTGAGTTAGTTCCTTATTTAATGTTGTGACTTGAACATGAAGGTAAAAAAATGATAACGATAATTTGTTTAATTTAATATTTACACCACATTTGGTAACGAAATTGTTACCAAATTGTGGTGGAGGCATATGTATGTATGAATTAAGCTGTATTGTTTGGATACGCACTATTAGAATTCTGGTATTGATTTCTCAGTATGAAAATTGCTACCGTTTGATATTAAAATTATTTACCGGTCCATAAAAATGTGTTATAAATACCACTTTAGTAGCATGATATATGAATAACGCTTGGTATTATTTTAATATTAGATTTCTAAGAGTGTGTTCATATATGAAATGTATTTAAATATGTATGTACATAAACATATATTTATGATATTAGATTTTAATGCAATGCACTTGGACAAATATTCGCAGTCTTAAGTTTCCTCAGTCGTTTTAATTATGCATAAATTGAGATTTTGACATGTACTGATTTTTTAAATTGGAAGCATTTCAAATTTTCAACGCTGCTTTAATAATTTGCCATAATAAAGCCAGATACGTTTTTATTTTCAATGTGAGATTAAATTTCAAACCATTTGTGAAAATTTTCACTTTATCATATTTTTTTTTTGCATTAGAAGTCTGCCAATTTTGCATGATGACTGCATTTCAAAAGCGAGTTCATATTACAACCAATTATGTAAATACTACTCTGAATAAATGATAGTTTTTAGTGCTCATGTACCAAGATGCATACAATCTCTTCTCTACTTTACTGAAACTTTCTTTCGTTCATTTAAAACATGCATGAAAATTAAAGTCATGAATCGATCTCATCTCGAGTCGAGTCTCGACAGGCATCAATAATTTCCGGATTAAGGTTCTAAATTATTACCAGGTTTTAACCAAGTTTAATCTAACCGGAAGTTTCTTATTCCGAATATTCTGCAATATGCAAGCCCCCCACGCCATGCGTAGGACACCCATCGATCCGAGTCTTTTTATTGCTCGGTTTATTCAAAAATTTGATTCGCAATTTAAATGCGGAAAAAGTTTAAACATACATACATGCTTCCTTTGAGTAATTACTGCTAAAATACGTACATACATATGTGCAAGATAAGCTTAATGCGGTCTAATTTAATTGTACAAAATTTAAGAACTAATGACCGAATTTACTCCCTGAAAGAGGCGTATTTCTATTTAATAGTGATAAAAGATGCGAACTAAAATATTAAAGAAATGCGTAAATATAATGCTACCGTACTTATGTATGTATACTTATTAACGTGTGTTATAAATAAATAGTGGGTAGAAAAAGGTATGGGTAGTAAAAGGTTCAGGTACCATACTCTCCAAGTTACACGCATTTTTATGTACCCTTCTTCCTTAAATCTAATTATTTTTGTACATACCCAACTTCCAAGAATTAAATTAAAAATGGGGCGGATCACGTAAAATTAGTGACTAAAAGCTACTCCGACGGTCAAATTGGAACAGTAGGGTCAAACAGTTTCGAGCATTTGTCTCTCTTTCACCTCCTGCCACAGACAGCTATTTTATCCCCTGTGAAATTGAGAACTACTTCTCAAGTGAAAATTCCCGATAATTTTCCCAAAAAATACAATTTTATAAAATGGCTTCAAGGTAGTAATATTCACCCCATAAAGAATTAATATAAATCTGAGTTACTTCTGAACGCAAACTGAAATTTTGAAGCGCTCTCCCTCATCAGTACTTGAAAAATTGATCCAGCAGGCCCTCGGAAATCCTGAAAATTTAAACATAGAGAGACTACATATTATGGGTAAGTAGTTCAGAAAAAATTATATGTAACTCTGGTTTGTTCATGTCTATACATTTTGTAAAGATTGGCTGGAAATCTTTCCTGAAAATATATTAGCAATGGTTTAAAAAAATGTATTTTATTTGTAGAATCCTCAAACTCGTTTTCACCAATTGGGACAAAGCGATCCGAGAAAACCGTTGGTAAGATTTTTAGTTCTCTAATTCTACAATTTTAAACATTCGACTACCAAGTTGTACAAAGATGCATAGATTACAACCTTAACACTTACAATGGAGGCGCAAACCATGTTCAGCCCAGATTATTTTTTGACCATGTTAGTTTGGAAGAGCAAGTCTCTAGAAACAACATTTGGTTCACCACTTGCGCAGATGCGCAAAATTCAGCACGTTATGGGCGCCACAAGTTCGCAAAAACGCATGATTTTTGATGCAAGGTCTAGCGCGAACTCACTCTCGACCACTTTTTGAGAACTTGTGGCGCCCATAACTTGCTGAATTTTGCGCATCTGCGCAAGTGGTGAACCAAATGTTGTTTCCAGAGACTTGCTCCTCCAAACTAACATGGTCAAAAAATAATCTCGGATGAACATGGTTTGCGCTCCCATTGTTAGTCTGACGAGTAAAAATCATGAATCGTATTTTGATATGTCAATTTCAGATGAGTTGTGGAAGGAAGTGGATTCAACAACCCTTCAAATCAAAGTTTTGACTAATACATTGGATGGATTACTTCTGCAAATTCGCAAATCAAATCAGCCTCAGCAGGCCGGAAATTCAGCGTCCGAGGACCGTTTTGAAGAACAAAAGAGGAAAATTGGCCATCATCATAGGGGAACACGTTTTACGACATACAACATTCGCCAAGACGAAGGGGAAGTTGATCCAGCCTGGAGGACCTGCCAGGAAAGCTCCACGGTTTATTATCCCCTTGTTCCAGCTCAGGGAACCACCCACACAAATGCCCCCCGCGACCAAACCTCATCGGCTAACTACCCCCCAGTACAACTTCAACATCTTAGGACACAAGCTGCTACGACTTCCCATGGGAACGCCTACGCTTACGCCGCCCGCGATCACGCGTATCAGCACAACGACCAGAGGTTTGTTATATATGTACATATTCTCAAACTATTTTCCGTTTCCGCATTTTTTGAGCTATGCTTATAATTTGTAGCTATTATCAATCTCCATGATACCAACCAAACCTCGAATGGACTGGTGGCGGACAGGAAGATGATCACCCTACAAACTCACCTCAAAACCTTTATCGCCCCCCACTAATCCATTCTTATTCTTACCATGATGTCGTTTTATCTGCAAGCACCTTTCTGCTTCTCAGAGTGAATTCATATTTTTGCTCGTGATTTATTTAATTGATGTGGATGATGTGGAAGTATATGTACATATCTAAATACCTAGACATTTTACTGAATATGAAAACGAAAATAATTTCTTAATATTTGCAAGGAATTTTAACAAATTTGTGAAAATTTTAATGTGCGTTTAATTTGAAAATTTTGTTGGCTTTTAATGTGCCATGTCGAAGTCGTTCTCACGACTTATTAATGTTTTAATGGGAATTTTTTTAAATGCTTAAGTTAAGCAGCTTAATATATCTCTTTTGGCTTTGGATACAATGTTCGTAATTTTTATAAATATAGCAGTACTAATCATGAATTGATCCATGTATAATTTCACAACTTAGAACATACATCACCATCATAAAGTGTCAATGTTCGGAAGACAATGGAGACCAAGCCCATTAGAATGCTGTGACCTAAGCTTGCGACCTAAATTACATTTACATGTTGTATCTTTGCAAGAGTTGGTTTTGATTTTGGAATAAAGTACCCACATATTGTGAAAAGTGTTAAGTATGTACTTGTTATTTACGAATCAAATCATGAGTATTTCTAACTCCCAAGTTATGGGGAAAGTGGGGAAAACGAGACCGAGAAAGTATCCAGAGCGGAGAAAGTCGGGCAGAAAATTGGATCCACACAAACGGATCAATATTTCCGGGCCCTGCGTAAGGAATGTTCGTTATCGATTTTTTTATGAAATTTAAAGATCGATAAGTCCATCTTATCGTAATCTTGGGTAGATCATCTCTTCTTTTGCACAAAATTAAGCCCATCCATTCTGCACAGCCCGGTCAACCACTCACCATTCTATTCTATTCTATGTACGAAATACATCCAATTTTACGGAATTGCTTGTACATATTGTGTTCCTCGACCTTGACTTTATTCAACAGCGTGGCCTGGAACTTCCTGGAGAAACAACTCCCCAAAAAATCCTATATTCATTGCGACACAGAAGATTTGGATTCATTCATCCACGAAAAAATGTGTCACTCTCGTCACTGAAGTGAACCCTGTGTGACCCAGTGAATTAATAAATTGCATAGTAAATTAATTAATCATTAAATCGATTCACTGCATCAATTACGCTTCTACTCGGATAAGAGATAAGTGAGTGAGTTATCAAGGCTGGAAGAATTTGATGAGACGGGGGTTATCATATACGTACATAATTTAGTGGTTGTGAAGAATCTGCTGGTGTGAGGGAGCTGACGAGTCAGATAACTATCCAGATAACTCGATATTTAACAACATTTCTTGGAAAATAGGCATAAAATTTTACGAGACGGGTTTATGTATCATGTAAATAATTTAGTGGGGAAAATTCTGTTGCTTGATTAAGAAGCTGATGAGTCAGATAATACGGTTGGATATCCATCGTACTCAGATAACGTGATATTTAACAACATTTCGTAGGCATAAAATTTTACGACGATTTCAAGGCAGAAATTTGATACGAAATGTGAGCTGAGGCGACAGTCGATAATAAATTATTCATGTAAATATCTAGTCTGTCGAGAAGTATTTAGCAAGCCTGGAGAGAAATTAAGTCTCTCCAGTTCAGTCGGTTGTGTGTAGAAATTTAAGATCTGAAGAGAATCTGACGTGATATGTAAAGTAGGATCGAATTTAGGTAGAAGAAGTGCTTTCTGAGAGATTTCTTGATTATTTGAGAATTGTCGTCGGCCTATTTTTTGTGATTTATACCGAAATACATATTAAATTTGTTACTATTTAATTGTGCCTGAATTGATTGAAATTATTCAGCATATCTTATTTTTTTATCGAATTATTTAACTACATATACCAATTAAATTGTCTTCAAATACTTGACACGAAAATGGCAACGAGTGACCACACGCAAGATTTAGATGGGGAAATTGAGTAAGTTTTTGTCGTAAATTTTGCAAAATTTTTGAAAATGGTTTAGTAAGTAATAATTTTTTTGGTGTAGTCATTTCAGCGAGTATGGAGGTTCAATTCGATTACGTAATCCGCACATTAAATTCATGTAAGTATTTCTGAATTAATTTAATTTTTAATTTTGAAATGATGGAAATTTTAAACTTTTAAAATTTATTTATTTACAGGGACCAGGATATCCTTTACCACTTGGGTAATTCTTATCGCATATTTGCATAAAGATTTAATGTCTAATAATTTGCAAAAAAAATTCTGCACAGCCCTGGGAAGTGAATCGCACGATCTCGTCGAAATGTTTGGTGATGTAAAATTCGGTATGAAAAATTGAAATTCAAGTGTTTACTTATTTTCACCCTTTTGCAAAAGAGGAGAGATGATAAATTGTAGAGTATTTTCTAAAATGATAAGAGTGGTTATGTGACCTACTTATTTTTCTGCAGTGTGCATCGGAGGGACGCCGAAACGCATGGAAGAATTTGCATACTACATCATGCGTGAGATTGGTCATAAAATTCCGACCGGGACGCAACTGCTCGATATCAGCCAGCACAGTTATCGATACTCTATGTGAGTCTTACGACTAATTTGCATAAAGCACATGTAATTGAATTTAGGACCTTAAGTTTCATATACATATTGTAACCTGATGTTCCTGTTACAATATTTTGAATGAAGGAAGGTAAATTTTAGTAAAATATTGCTGCCGTTATTTAAAAATATACAATTTCTAGTATTAAAATTGGAAAAAAGATTTCTTGTATGCGTAGCCTGATCTTCTCTATTGAAAGTATGTAAAAATTTGAAAATACTCATGTTATTAATCCAAAGATTCGGGTGTTTTTGAATGAATGCAATGAGTGGTCAACCGGTCAAAATTATTAAAAAATTGTCTGCGTTTTTAACGAATGAACAAAAATTAGGAACATATATATTTAAAGTTCATGAAAATTTTAGTAAAAGTTGTGTCTTTACCATCCTGTTTCCTAACTTGCGCCACAGTTAGATTATAACATTGGCGCAAGTTACTAACGTGTCAAGTATAACGGCACACTTATTTAATTTCGACGTGCAGGTACAAAACCGGGCCGGTGTTGTCGATAAGTCATGGAATGGGAATCCCCTCAGTGTCAATCCTTCTGCACGAGGTATGATAAAATTTCTAGATAAAATTCAAGATAAAATCCCGAATAGAATTTCAAATACAATTTTCGAACAAAATTTCGCGATTGAATGTCGAATAAAGTTCCTAATAAAATATGGAGATCAAATTTCGAGATAAAATGCCGAATAAATTTCTAATAAAATTTAGAGTAAAATTTAGGGATATAATTTCGAATGAAATTTTAGACTAAAATTTCAACCAAAATTTCGCATAAGATTTCAACCTCACAACTAATTCTAAATTCAGATCATCAAGCTCATGTACCACGCTCACGTGAAGGACCCCGTGTTCTTCCGGATCGGAACGTGCGGCGGCGTGGGGGTCGACGGTGGCAACGTGATCATCACCGAGGAGGCCATCAACCCTGACCTCGAGCCGTTCCACGAGGTCTCCGCGTTGGGCAGGAAGATCCGCCGGACGTCCAAATTGGACGCCGACCTTTGCGCCGAACTCGTCTCCATCGCCACCGAAATGGACGAACCGTACACCTTCCACTTGGGAAAAACTATGTGCACGGATGACTTTTATGAAGGTAAATTAATTTGGAAAGACAATTTAGGATATGTGAAGTGAAATTCCAGAATTTTGGGGATTTGTTTGGCCGGATTTTCAAACAAGTTTGTGCACTCAGGGAAAGAATAGGGTGGATTTTACACGAGTTGCATATTTTATGACTTTTATGAAGATAAATTAGATATGAAAAAAATTCGGAAAATTTGAAATGAAATTTCTGAATTTGGGGGATTTATTGGGCCGGATTTACAGAGAATTCCATATATTTAGGAAAAAATGAGTCTGGATTTTACACGAGTTGCATATTTTATGACCTTCATGAAGGTAAATTAGATAGGAAAATATTCGAATTTTTTGGGACGTGAAATGAAATTCCCGAAGTTCTGGGGTTTTGTTTAGACCGAATTTTCAGAGAATTTTGTGTATTAAAAATACTCAAGGACAAAATAGTATGGTTTTTACACGAGTTGCATATTTTTGTATACAATATTGGAAATCGAAATTCATGGAATTATGCTAAATTGGTCTTGATTGAGGTGTGATTTAGGAAATAAGAGGTGCGAAATTAATGGCAATTTTGACTCAAAATATTCGTTGATTTATTACATATTTTTGCGCTTCATTCATATCAATTAGGAAAATTTTTGAGTGCAGAATAGCTTCACATGATATGAAAGGTAATTGCTCAGACTTCCACTAAATTTTACTACGAAATTAGGTACTTCATGAAAATGTGCTAAATTTGTTTTTTTATTAGGAAGGAAATACGATGAATGAAATTAATTTAAAATAATTAATTTAAAATATCTGGTAATTGTTTTTACAATTTTGTGTCTATTTCACGCCAATGAGGAAAATTTTGAATGAAATCTATTTTTGAAGTGTACGAAAGATGGAAAGTTGTGTACGCCATTTTTACGCAATATTTACTAGTTACTACATTTAAAAAAGATTTTTGTGGTAAATTTACGCCAATGAACGACAATTTTGAATGCCGATAAATTAAATAGCATTAAAAGATCGGCGGTGCATCTTCCACCAATTTTTTTTCTATGTAATCGGGTCGAATCTCATGCAAATGTCTAAGATTGACTTTTAATATAAAATAAATTTCATTAAATTAATAGAGAATTTAATTTCAAATATATACTGACTAATAATACATTTTTTACGACATTTGCGATTAATTTGCACAAATTGGTGTAAATTTAGAAATAAATCACAGATTGTATAAAAAATTAGTTATTTTTTATACACTAATTTTTCCACGTAAGTAATTGTGTCGAAATCTGTGGAACTCTGGAAAATTTGATTAAGAAAAACTAAATAGAAAACTAACGGCGAAATTAATTCAAAATATTATTATTTTTTTTTTACTTATGTTGCGATTCGTTCATGTCAATAAGAAAAGTTTAAGAATGAGAGGTGAGTAATGCTATAAAAGATTTCTGGATGATCTTTTCATTAATTACAATTTTAATTAGATTATTTTCATGAGTAAAAAAATGTAATTGATACTGAACTGAATTTAGTGTTTATGTATGTATTATTTGTAAACAAAATAGGTATATGGAAAGAATTGAAATAATCGTGAAAAGCAAAATCATAAAAGCTTTGGCACGCAATTTTTAGATACGTGAACTTTAACAGAAAACATATTCCTTGAATTTAACACGAGTCGCATATTATCCTACGTAATTAATTGGATTGAAATGCATACAAATGTGTTAATTGATTTTGAATTGAGCTGGGATTTAGGAAATGAGAGAATGAAGAGATTAACTTTTAAATAATTTTTGTCTATTAATGTCAAATTTTTTGCAATTTTTCGTGACTTTTCTGGCACACTCATTCTACAAAAGAAAACATGGAATGCAAATGAAATATTAGATTGCTACACAAATTGGAGAACAATTAGACTAATTTCATTCATGAGTCGGGTAAAGTGTGGTATTTTATATGGGGCTAAATTTCATAATAAAACAAAAACCAAGAAAAGATTTGCAATCAGTTGTTTTTGAAAGTATGCAAGTTTTAAATTATTCCTTAAGAGGTTTATGAATCTATTAATTTTTGATACAAATTTTATATTTGTCAAATAGTTTTTTTGTGAATAAGTAAAATGTTAGAGTTCACCGCCATAATAATGATAAATCAAAATCTTATCAAGTAAATAAATTATATTCAGATGCGATCATGGGCTCTGAAAAAGTACAGACATCGGAAAAAATGTTTTATAAAAGTGATAATTCAAGAAGATAGACTCGCATTATTTCCATTTTATTGACAGAAATTGAAAAAAATTACAGAATTCAGATTGATTAGAATTAAATATTTAAATATTAACGAATTGAAGCGTACTTCTTGCAAGCGATTTGTTTGTCTCCTGGTCTTTATGTTATGGCACGATAACTTTCAAATGAAGTAATTTTTTAGTTCCGTTTTCGGATATCAACATCTAATTATTAAAAATCTATCTAGTTATTAAACTAATTATTGTTTAATATAAAAGTAAGAAGAACTGAATTTCATAATTAAATGAAACAACAGGGACAGATTTTAAATCAGTTATTTTGGAAACCATGTGGTATTCTTTATGACGTTTATGAATTTTTATTTTTGATGAAAATTTCACAATTTTCATGTAATTTTTTCTTGGACAAGTAAAATGGTAGAGTTTGTCGCCATATTTATAAATTATAATCGTGCAGAATATTTTAGTTGTGTTCAGATCCGTTGTACGACAAAATGTGAATGGGATATGAACACTACTTTTATTTGTGCTTTTATAAAATTTTGCTATTTTTTATATCCTCGACAGGTTAGTGTCGGTTGAACGATGCATTTTGAGAATCATGATTTTGTTAAATTTGTAATGAGAATTATACATTTTTAATATAGTTTTTTCGTGAACGTCAGAGTTTACTGCCAGACTGATAAATTATAAACGTACAGAGGATTAAAGTCGACGATTAAAGTCGTTTAGATCCGGTGGTGGTGATTCACACACATTATAAACATTTGCGATGTGATACTAGTTTTATTGGAGATTTTATAAAATTTTGATATTTTTTTATCAAAATGCCAATAAGCATTTTTTTATCCTCGACAGGTCAAGGGAGTTTACCGCCATATTGATACATTATTATGTATCAGGGTTCTTTTGAAGACTTTGCAAAATTATGAAAATCGAATAAAATTAAAATGCGACCTTAATTTTCAGATTTAAAAAAAATTGAATTTTTTGATCCCCGACAGGTCAGGGTCGGTTGGATGGTACATTTAGGGTATTATGAATTTTTTTATTTTTAATGAAAATTTTACATTTGTAGTTTTTTCGTGAATACATAAAAAAATGTCAGAGTTTACTGCCAGACGGATAAATTATAATCGTACAGAATATTTAAATTGTGCGCAGATAATTTGAGTGCAGGAATATAAAGTTACAGACATCAGAGAAAATATGAATGTGATACCATTTTTCTAAAATTTTCTAAAATTTTGAAATTCTGTATTTCTTTGACAGGCCAGGGTCGTTTGGACGGTGCATTTTGTGACTACACGGAGAAGGAGAAGATGTCGTACATCCACCACCTGCAGCGCCACGGGGTCACCAACATCGAAATGGAGTCCTTGGCCTTCGCCGCGTTAACGCATCACGCCCACATCCGCGCCGCCGTCGTCTGCGTCTCCATCGTCGATCGCATGGTCGGAGATCAGGTTGGGGGCAGAATTAAAGATTAATTTTTGTAAATAAATAAATTTTTATGACTGGATTTTAATTAAGTAATTGATTATAATTTAATTGAGTTAAAGGGTTGTAACTTGCGCCCATATTATAACTTCAAATATGGCGCAAGTTGTAAATAAATGAAGGGTAGATGCAGCTTTACGTTTTGAAAATTGCGAAAAATGTGGTCATTAATGTTGGAAAAGTAAAAGAAAAGTTGTTATTTTTTAAGGGTCAGTTTTAATGCCAAATTTTATTTTTGCGAGATAATTATTTATTAAATTGATAATTAGGTTGGCAGTTGTTCATAATTCCCTAATAAGGCTTTATGAAAAATGTATAAAAAGAATACTGTCGAATTAATATGTGACAAAATTTGCAATTCAATTAATCAAATTCCCACGATATCCCGGTAATTTGCATTTTACAACTTGTAATGGAACCTTATTTCAAGCTACACCTGGATTTTCTGGCGAGTTATGTTATAACTTCAACTCGTGGGTTGGATTTCTGCTTTATTCCCAGAAAACGGGGGAAGAAATTCAGAAAATTCCCGTGTACAATGCACCCTAAAAATACTCAAAAACTTCCGGAAACGTTAAAAATTTCCGAAAAATGTTCCTAAATTTCCCAAAGATTCTCGAAAATTACCGGAAACTTACTAAATTTCTGAAAAAGCTCTTCCCCCGCTTTCCTGGCAAACGCGTTTGCACTCCAAATCGCAGCTATATTTTTGCTGATTTAAAAAATTTGGATTTTGAAAAAAAAAATGTGCAAAATTATCATAATTATTACTAAATGATAACCTTTTTGCATTTTTGCCCTCAGGTCTTAGCCCAAAAAGAGGTCTTGAACGAGTGGCAAATGCGCCCACAAAAGTTGGTCGCTCAATACATCAAGAAGCATTTGGGCCTTTTGGACAACACAGGAACGAGCGCGACCGCCGCCGCCGCCGCGGCCGCTCGGCGCCACCTCGACCTTTCCCCCACCGCCATGAACTGCCCCCACAAACAAGTCCTCATCGTCAAGAGCCCCCGACGAATGAACATGGTACAACAAGAGTCGCAAAGCTACGACTAAAAATTTGTGTACATCGGCCAAACAAAATTTGATGAAAAAATGTGAAACGTAAAAATACGTACGTACGTACCTCTCGTAGAATGACGGCTGGACGGGTCATTAGATTTTAAAAATTAATGATTAATTACAAATTAAACGTAATTGAAGCGAATGAAACTTTGTTCAATTAAAAAGGATGAAATATATGAAATGAAATGATGATAATAAAATTATAGACTATATTAAAGATGAGAATTATGTAATTATTTTCATGAAAAGCTGCTTGTAAAATTTGAGACGGAACTGGAGTATCTAGATAAAGTGTAATGGAGTTGATTTCACACTAAATTTTGTCATCGGCTACGAAGCTACACAATTTTTGTGTGGGATTTCTATGGCATGGTAAACATGGCAAGATGCTCGTGTCGGTTCGATTTTCCTTAATTTTTGACAGGTTGTAGATCTTCAGCAGTAGAACAATAATTGAATTACTCGAATTGAAGGGTAACATCGACCTGAGTTCTACGTTGCATAGTGACTTTGACCCCAAGACAAGGAAAATGGTTAAGTTGCTCGCAAAAAGTTTTGCTTTTAAGTCTAAATAGAACTGAGGATAAGTGATCTTTGACCCCATGATTAGATAGGAAATATTTGCATTTTTTGGGACGGGGAATGAAATCTGGGGTTTTGTTTAGACCGGATTTTCAGAGAATTTTGTGTATGTATACCAGTACTCGCAAGGAAAAATAGTATGATTTTTACACGAGTTGCATATTTTTTCTTCGTGGGTTTTCGAAATGAATGGCATGCACAAAATTATTTTCAACGAGGTTGATGACCTGTTTAATATTTAACTAATTTTAACTCACGTTATTTAATATTTAAATATTTAACTTTCATGAGTGCTAACCAAAAGATTCGTTTTACACGAGATGCATATTTTTGTATACATAATCGGAAATCAAATTGATGGAATTATGCAAAATGGGTCATGATTGAGGTGTGATTTAGGAAACAAGAGGTACGAAATTAATGGCAAGTTTTATTCAAAATATTCGTTGATTTACTACATATTTTGCGGTTCATTCATGTCAATTAGGAAAATTTTTGAGTGCAGGATAGCTTCATATGGTATGAAAGGTAATTGCTCAGACTTCCACTAAATTTTATTACGAAATTAGGTAAAATTTCATGAAAATGTGCAAAATGTATTTTGTATTAGGAATTGTGTCGTAATTGTGTCGAAATCTGGCTCTGGAAAACTTGATGAAGAAAAAGTATTTGTAGATCGAAAACTAACGGCGAAATTAATTCAAAAGATTTATTTACTTCTTAATTTTTTTTACACGTTTTGCGATTCGTTCCTGCCAATAAGCAAAGTTTAAGAATGGGAGTTTATTAATCCTATGAAAGATCACGTACGCTCCTGTCATTAATTCATTTGATTATTTCCATGAGTAAAAAAATGTAATTGATACCGAACTGAATTTAGTATTTATCTATTATTGGTCAACAAAATAATCGTGAAATAATGAATAGATCTCTGTCGACACGTGAATAAAGGATTAACAAACAAACAAATCGTGACGATCAAAATTATAAAAGCTTTGGCACGCTATTTTTGGATTCGTCCTGAAAATCATGATTTTTAACAGAAAACATATTCCTTGAATTTGACACGAGTCGCATATTTTCCTATGTAATTAATTGGATTGAAATGCATAAAAAATGCATAAAAATGTGTTGAATTGATTTTGAATTAAGCTAGGATTTAGGAAATGAGAGGAAGGAAGAGATTAACTTTATTTAAAATTAAAAATAATATTAAAAATTTTTGTCGATTAATGTCAAATTTGTTGAGATTTTTCTGCAATTTTTCTAATATAATCATTCCAATGAAGAAAACTTGGAATGCAAATAAAACATTAGATTGCTACATAAATTGAAGATCAATTAGACTAATTTCATTTATGAGTCGGGTAAAAAGTCTATTATTTTATGTCACACAATTCATTTCATCTTGTCGCACATTGGACCTAAACACAACTTCATCATCCTGCACGATTACAATTTATCAATATGGCGTCAAACTCTACCATTTTACTTATCCATGAAAAAATTACATGAAAACCGAAATTTTCATCAAAAATTAAATAATACTATTTTTTATATTCTCGTCAGGTCAGGGTCGGTTGGACGGTGCAATTTGAGGATGATAATTTTTTTAATTTTTAATGAAAATTTTACATTTTTAATAGTTTTTCGTGAATACTTAAAATGTCACTGTTTACTGCCAGACTGATAAATAATAATTATAATCGTACAGAATACTAAAATTGTGTTAGATTTAACGGACGACAAAAATTACAGAAAATCTGAATGGGACACTATTTTTCTAAAATTTTCTAAAATTTTGATATATATTTTTATATCCTCGACAGGTCAGGGTCGGTTGGACGGTGCATTTTGTGACTATACGGAGAAGGAGAAGATGTCGTACATCCACCACCTGCAGCGCCACGGGGTCACCAACATTGAAATTAAATTATTCTAAAGGCCTAAATCGGCCTGAGTGACCTTTGACCCTTAGACAAGGTCAGACATGTTAATTCGACTTTTCCTTTACCACATGAAATCTACAATATATTTACTAAAAATTCAGGAACCGACGAAGATTTTGCCATGTTTATTACTGTCCCATGCAATTTATCCGTTGGGTTTCTAATCCAAATATGCATGTAAAAATATGTTCAAACAAACTCTGCCCAGAGAGGTGTTTAGAATTATGCAGAATTGCAATAACCAACCACTTGAGCTGGGCAGTAATGGGTACATTATCCATGATAATAAATACCACTTCTACACGATAAACACGTACATATGTATGCACTTGATATAATTGTAGCAGTTCGATAACCAGGATGAATAATGATTACGCACGTGTTTTTCTCCAGTTTAAACCACTTTGAGAATTAGATTGATTTCATTATTTTCATGCAATGAGTTGACAAGAGATGTTCAATTCCACAGCCTGAATTGTCGTGATTTCCTAATTTCGAATTTCGTAAAGTTTCATAAAAAACATTTAAATAACTTTTGAAAACTATTTATGAATAAATCATGAATTAGTCTTAAACGGAAAATATAGACTTGCGTTTTTGACTTCTTTCTGAGAATTTGTTGGTACCATGAGGAAAAATTGTACTTATTGCTTATATAATTACCTAAAACTAAGATTTCAGAAAAAACTGGATCGAATTTTTCCGTTGTTGTTGTTTGCTGCTGGCAAACATAATTTTGCAGGGTTGACGTGGTCCATGAAATCAATCATACAAAAGAGTTGAATAAGCCTGAATTTTACTTCATGGTCAACAGGTCAGGTCAGCTCGTACAAATATTTTTTGTTCCTACCACATCCCACAATTCCATCCAATCAGTGTTGTTTCTCCTCGCTTAATTTAAAACAACAACAAGTATGCAAATTTCGATTCGCACATGTCCAGTAACACGTATGTATTAAATACGTTCTTATTAAATAAGCTCTTATTTTGCAATAAGTACTTTTGATGTGGCGTTGTTTGACCTCGATAAGTAAGGCGGAAAGATGCGTATTAAGGAAATAAATAAACAAACAAACAGCCAAATATGCACATACATAACTTGAAGATGCAAAATTAGTATAAATAAATCAACGAAAAAAATTATTTATTTGGTCCGCATCCAAAAAAGTCATGTTATTTAAGTAAATTTCATTTTATGAATGCTTTCGTGTTAAAGTAAATACGTTGTTAAATAAGTAAAATTATGAATGAATTTCCGCACCCTGACGGATGAACTGGATCTGTCAAGATTTTGATTTTTTTTCGTCATTTAATTCTTGGAATATAATTATCTTAAAAGGTTTGATTTATGGGAGAAGATATCACTGGATTTTACCAGACTGATGAGGATGAAACCACGGAGTTTGAGGTAGCACGTTATTTGACGTCATGTCACGTTTACGGATTTTTGGCCTCATTAAATGAGATTTAGATTGATGGAGGTTAAAGGATAAACAAAAATTGTTCTCTGACTCATTTTTCACTCTGCAAAATTCCCGTATTTTTATTTTGGCCTAGAACTGGAAATTTAAATTATTCTTTAAAAATATGAATTTCTCAAATATCAATAATTATGTCAACCTGGGTAAAATTAAGATTTGTATTTTAATCATTGCTTAATTAATTAATGCTAAAAAAACTCTTCAAGTTTGCGAAAACTTAGCAAAACATGACACCAAATATATCGACTATACTTTTAAAAAGACTTTGAAAAACTTTTAATTTGGAAAATATTCAGGTTTTGTTAATAATTTTCATTTTGTAAACAAATTTCCTAAATCTTCCCTTACATGAAGACAACGAGAGGACCTGAATTAAAATGTTGATTACGGAAAAAATGTCCATATTTTCATTTAGGCGTAGAATTTGATCAAATTTTTATAAAATTTCAACGCTGTTATAAAATCAAAACGATTATCATTACCTCAATTGCACAACAATTAAAAAAATTCGTTCAAAAATTCATAAAATTGGTTTTTATTAAAAAGTAGTTAAAATTAAATAAGGTTTACAGTAAGTAGACTTAATTCAAGATTAATTATAATTCTAAATTTTTGAAAAAGAATATTTTAATTTTTTAAATTAGAAATTTTGTCAAGTATTACGCCGAAATAAAAACAATGAAAGTTTTCACAGGAAAAGTTAAACCAGATTTGTCACAGTCCAGTGTATTTTATCCCACCCTGAGTATAATTTGGAAACAAATGTAAAATTTTGCAAAGCTTTTGACTCGAAATTATGCAAATTTTGTTCTGAAAAATATTCATATTTTCTCACAAGGATAAATTTGATTTTCGAAAACAAATTTTCACCTTAGGACCTGTATTACAGTGATAATTATCAAAATTCTTATATTTCTGTTTCGGCGCAAAACTTGGTAAACTTAACAAAAAATAAACCGTTACAACGCATGTAACCAAGGGGTGAAAGGAGTGTGTCATACGTCAAAGTGAATATATTCACTTGATATAAATATAAATGTATCTTTCAAATCATCGGACATCGATTATATTTGGACACCTTAATGTAAACTCTATACGGAACAAAATACTACTTATCTCTGATTTTTTGCATGAACATAATATAGATATTTTTTGCATGACTGAAACAAAAGTTGACTCAGATACTAAAATAATGAATATTCCAGGG